AGTTGAGAGGCGGGCCGAAAGAGCAGAGCTCACCCCCCCCCCCCGCAAGCACAACTAGGTGAGTACAACCTGGCCCAGACACGCCCCCGCCCAGCCTGCCACCCCTTCCCCCCCCCCCAACACGCCCCCGCATAACCTGCACCCCCCCCCCCCGACCCACCCTGCCTGCCCCCCCCTGACACACCCAGCCTTCCCCCCTTTCCGCCCGACACACCCAGCCTGCCCCTCGACACGCCCCTGCCCAGCCTGCCCCCCCGACACGCCCCTGCCCAGCCTGCCCCCCCCGACACGCCCCTGCCCAGCCTGCCCCCCCCGACACGCCCCTGCCCATCCTGCCCCCCCAACACGCCCCTGCCCAGCCTGCCCCCACCAACACGCCCCCGCATAACTTGCCCCCCCCCAACATGCCCCCGCATAACCTGCCCCCCCCCCAACACGGTCCTGCATAACCTGCCCCCCCCAACATGCCCCCGCATAACCTGCCCCCCCTGACACGCCCCCGCCCAGCCTGCCCCCCCGACCCACCCTGCCTGCCCCCCCTGACACACCCAGCCTGCCTCCCCTTCCGCCCGACACGCCCTGACACGCCCTGACACGCCCTGACACACCCAGCTTGCCCCCTCTTCCGCCCGACATGCCCTGACACACCCAGCCTGCCCCCCCCCCCTGACACACCCAGACTTTCCCCCGACATGCCCCTGCCTAGCCTGCCCCTCCCCCGACACGCCCCTGCCCAGTCTACCCCCCCCCCCCCGACATGCCCCTGACCCCCCCCGACACGACCCTGCCCAGCCTGCCCCCCGACACGTCCCTGCCCAGCCTGCCCCCCCAAAAAAAAACACCTTAACCTTGACAAGACGTTTTACTTATTGTTTGGCAACAACAATCAAATTAATCTAAGAATTAACAATACCCAAATTACGAGTAGAGTAGAAGGGAAGTTCCTTTGTGGTCGCAATGACAACAAACTAACTTTCCATTGCCATATACAAAATATACCAGTAACTAAAAAAGTTTCTAAAACAGTAGGCACTCTCTCCAAAGTCAGATACAGTACAGGACTACGTTTCTCGTCCTGCCCTAGTTACTCTGTATTATTCACTTATTTATCCATATCTCACCTATGGTATCAGTGTCTGGGGATCCACCACCCTTAATTACCTCAACCCCTAATTACTCAACAAAAATCAGCAATTATAACAATCACAAATTCCAATCCCAGACACCACTCTGCTTTCCCTTATTGAAATCTTTGAACATGTTAAATATCAAGTCTCTATACTGTATCTACAAAATTGAATTACAATATCAATCCTGACCTTCTAGTGGGCCAGCCAGAGGCTTAGGGCCTCTGAAATGTAATGAACATTTGTTTTGAGTACATTAAAAAATAAAAAAATATAAAAAAATCCTGACCTTAAGCGCTTCCTAGAGGGCTGTAATAGAACTCATCGTCACCACACGAGAAACAAACATCTCTTTGACATTCCTATAGTGAGACTCAACCAAAGTAGAAATGCTATTCATATCAAGGGGTTCAAATTGTGGAATGACCTCCAAAATGTACTTATAAACTGTATGTCTCCCAACCAGTTGAAGGGAGAGACTAAGAAATATTTACAAATATCATGTAATTAGTATCATGTAATTAATATCATATACTGTACTCAATTTCATATAACTAGTTTCTCTCACATTTTCTCTGGTTTTAAGTTATTATATTAATCTTTTCTTAAACTTATCTTACTAATAAATATGTCCTTTCTTCATTGTCATCAAATTGTTTGCATTTCATTTATAAAATGTTTACTCATATCGAAGTCCTTGTTTATTTTTAAGTGTTGGCCCCATTAAAGTTAAATTATACTTTATTACTCTATGTTATGTTATGCTCCAGTTGCTCTTTTAAATTACTTCCTGATATTTCCATTCTGTTATTAATGTAAATAAGCTATTGTACTGTTGTTAGAACTACTGACTCCATATTCTAATAGTCTAAACGTGTCATCGTTATGTACTGTATCACCTTTTTATTGTATTTATCTGTTTTTTCTTAACTTTTTGAATTTTTGTTAGCTTACTTCTCTTTTTTAGTACATAATAAAAATTTACCCTATCACACATTTAATTATTTTTTTTTCCAAATTATTAAAATTTTTGCCCAAAATGTTTTGTGCAATAGTAGCTTCATTAGTTTGTTTAACTCCTGTTCCCACAATTGTACTCTTATTCTTTGTACACACATACTTTTAAATAAAAATTTAATTTAATTTAATTCTTTTGCTTTTAATCGTTCCTTCACAAGGCACTAGCACCACCACCTTTTCAAATTTTTCTGTCATTTCCAAACAGAAAAAGCCTCACAGCCTCTTAGGAATACCACCTCATTTAAAATGTTATCTTCCAGTTATAAGAATGTAAGAACTCTTGTATATACTGTAAATAAAAAATAAAAAAATTTCGTCTCTACTAGTGCAACATCCTAACTCAGTGAGTAAAAAAACAAACTAGCATCGAATCTAATGAAACTATTTTCTGGGCGAGTCCCAGAGGCTCCTCGGAGCTATCCATGGCTGATATGGATACCCAAACTATTTTGCATCAGTCGATATGGGTGGAGTTCTAGGCCTACTGGGGACCACGAGAGAGAACCTGGCCCCCCTCACAGAGGCATGAGGAGCAATGGCCCATAGAAAAGCACATGTGATTTGGAGCATTCTATATCTGACATCGACCGGGACAGGCACTCAGAAAGGTAAGCGTCACAAAACAAACCCCTATTCTGGTTAACAACGAAAATCGTCATACGAGTAGACAGAACTCCCCAAAAGAAAAACGAACAAACAAGCATGACGTCACACAAGCCATGCCGCATGTCTGAGCAGCTCCCCCCCTCCCCAGAAGTGGGAAGGTCGAGCCCCAGACCCTCACGCCGGCGATCCTCAACCCAGTTCTGAGGCTGGATATCGAAAAACGCGAAAAACCGCCAACCGGGTCACGACACAGCATAGCCGTGTAGTAGTCTGGGAGCAGTGCTAGTAGCGCAAGTCCAGAGATGCTTGTGCAGGAGATCAGATGCAGTGAAGAGGAAGAGAGGCGGAGGAGGTGCCACACCTAGAAGTGTCCCCCACATATAACCCAGAACGACCCCCAATAACCAGGGGATGATGACTGGAGAGATAAGATGAGCGAGAGCAGTGTATAACCCGGGAGAAAGTGCGCTGAACACCGACACTTGTCTACACCGACCAAAACAAAACAATCACCCACGGTGCATGCGCAGGACACATGAGGTCCAAGCTGCACTACTTGAACCCTGGGGAGGGTGCCAACAAGGAAAATGAAACCATAATTAGGAATGTCGAGACAAAGGAATGAAAGAGGCGACTATTAAAACCAAAATCAGCATCGAAAGAGGAGAAAAAGAACAAGAGTACCAACTAGTCATAGAAAGGACTGGTGATAAGCCTCACCAGAAGGCGACAGACTTCCAATAATGCAGAAGCATCAAAGACCCACTCGAACCTTCAAGAACCAAGACCAACAAGCAGAAAATCCCAGAAGCACAGATGCACCCCAAGAGCATCCGTGAGTAATGGACAAGCAGGATCCGAGACAGCAGAAAATTATTGCGGCATGATGCAGAACACAGGTCCCAGAGAAGGAAGGTGGGAAAGTGAAGAAAACGCCCCGCAGAAGGACTAAGCCGACGGACTGGAAGGTACACGGAACCGAACCCAAGGAGGGGCTGACGCCCAAGGGCAACTCGTACGCAGATGGGGAAAAGGAAAACCCCACTCCTTGTAACAGTAAGCCCCACTCGGAAGGTCGGAAAATCCATGCGGGGTCCAAAGCCATCCCAAGTCAGCACCTCCCCAATCCCAGGAACCACCACGTCAGGTCACGGGGGCGAGACATTCTCCAAAGCCCCGGCCTCACAAGAAAAAGCCGGGGCGGCCGAAATAGCAGAAAGAGAGCGGGCCCACTGGTCAGACCCCGGAGCTACGGCTGGAGGAACATACTCGAACGCCTCCGACGCAACCCCGGAAGGGGCAACAGTTCTGTCCATTCATATGATGATTTTCATTGTTAAGCAGTATAAGGGTTTGTTTTGTGGCGCTTACCTTTCTGGGTGCCTGTCCTGGTCGATGGCAGATATAGAATGCTCCAAATCACATGTGCATTTCTATGGGCCACTGCTCCTCGTAACCTGGCTCGTGAGCCCTGGTAGGCCTGGAACTCCATCCACATTGACTAATGCAAAATAGTTAGGGTATCCATATCAGCCATGGATAGCTCTGGGGAGCCGTAGGGGCTCCCCCCCCAGAAAAAAATACAGTAATAAAAATTATCTCTAATACTGTACAGTATTGTTAAAATCAATTCCCTGAGCACAGGAAACTATAAAGAACAAACTTGTATGTAGCTGACTTTGACTGTGGTAGACAGAGGAAAATTGTAATGTCTCTAATTCACGATCTATGATGGATAAGCTGCCCCTATGTAGGTGTCTTTTTTTTATCCTGTCTTTTTTTATTTTCATATGCATGTTTCTCGTTAATTATGAGCCACTTGTGAGCCAGGGACTTTAATTTTTTATCAGTTACTTGCTTGGTGAGGAGAGGACAGTGTGTGTTGTAGAGGCTTAGAGTTTTGGAGAGCACGATATCGGCTAATGAATCTATGAATGAACACTAATAATAATGCTTATTGCTGTTTTGTCAGGTAGTGTGAAGGCTAGTTCCTTGGTTTCCGATGGTGTTATGTCCATGTTTACTTATTATTTGCTTACTGCCATGTAAGTTATCCATAATGTTTCTTCTTGTCTTGTGATCAATCTAGTATGTTATAATAAGCACATTATTGTATGTGCTTTACTTAAAACTTTTACAATAAACATACGTATTAATTGGGATATCACTTATTATATTTCAATGGATTAAAAACTATTCTCTTATCTAAATAATTAAATTAAAAAGAAAAGTGAGTACTTTACTTACAATGAGTCGAAACATTTCGTGTCCTATCGATTATTGAGCTTCAGATTTGAAAGTTGTCTGAAAAATAAAATGGATCTATCAGCATTTTTTTTTTTTACAATTGAAACATTGTTTTATGCAAGGACATATTCCTGGTGGTCTTGAGTAAGATTTGATAGGAGAGCATCAAGTAATAAATGTAATAAAACACCCTTCAATAGTTTATACACTTGATAACCCAGCCTTAGACAGTGGCAGATAGCCCTATTGGTTCGGCACAATTTGCTTAACTCTTCAACTACACATATCAACCTGGGTTGATTTGTCAGCCTCGTATTTATTATACGAGGCCAATATGCATATGCGAGGCAGGTGTATGCCAGCCTCGCATACACCACTTATGATATTCTTTTGATATTTTCCAAACTGTCTCCAAACAGGAGACAGATTCATTATGATATCAATTCCTAGATCTTTCTCTGTTCATTTTGTAGAAGACTTCTTCTATTCAGTATCCTGTGTCTGCCTCCTGTTCCCTCTGCCTAGTTTCATTACCTTGCATTTACTTGGATTGAACTTTAGTAGCCATTTGTTGGACCATTCTTTCAGTTTGTTTCGATCATCTTGTAGCCTCTTGCTATCTTCCTTGGTTTTAATCCTCCTCATAATTTTTGCATCACCAGCAAACATTGAGAGGAACAAATCTATTCCCTCTGGGAGATTATTTACATATACAGTATCAGAAACAGAATACTTCAAGGGACAGAACCCTGTGGGACTGGTGACCTCTCGCCACTATGAGATCTCACCCCTCATAGTGACTCGCTTTCTTCTCTCGCTTAAATACTCCCTTATCCAATGGAGTACCTTCCTTTTTACTCCTGCCTACATCTCCAGCTTATGCAACAGTCTCCTATTGGGTACTGTGTCAAAGGCTTTCTGGCAATCCAAAAATATATAGTCTGCCCACCCTTCTATAGGGAAAAGGATATATCCATTAAAAACTGAGACAGGTCAGATAACTGATAATGAAGAAGAGATGAGTAGTATTTTTAATAAATATTTTATCTCTGCATTTACTAAAGAGGAACTTAACATTATACCTTCAGCCAAACAAGTCTAAGTGGGGTGGAAAAGAGGACAAGTTGACTAGTTTAGCAGTTACCATGGAGAATGTTATTAAACAAATAGTGAAACTCAAACCAAACAAATCTCCAGGGCCAGATGAAGTGTTTGCCAGGGTGCTTAAGGAATGCAAAGAGGAGCTTTGCAAGCCGTTGTCTACTACTGTATATTTAATAAATCACTAGAGTCAGGCAGAGTGCCAGAGTCGTGAAAGGTTGCTAATGTGGTTCGAATTTTCAAGAAAGGAGATAGATCACTTGCGTCAAACTATCGGCCAATTAGCTTAACGTCTATTGTGGGAAAGTTACTTGAATCGATAATTGCAAATACCATTCGTCTTCATCTTGAAAAACATAAATTAATAAAGGATTCACAAGATGGTTTTACAAATGACCATTCATGTTTAGCAAATTTGCTATAATTTTATTCCAGCATAATTGAGGCAGTTGACAGTGGTAAGGTTTGTGATGCTGTGTATCTTGACTTTAGCAAAGCTTTTGGCACAGTGCCACATGAAAGACATTAAAAAGTTAAGAGGCTCACAGTATTGGTGGTGCTATATTAAGTTGGATTAAGGCATGGCTATATCAAAGGAAACAGTTAGTATAAATAGTGTTAGGTCAGAGTGGGAAAATGTTTTAAGTGGAGTACCTCAAGGCTCTTGTCCTGGGACCTCTGTTACTCATAATATATATAAATGATTTAGATTCAGGTTTGAGCAGCAATATTTGCAAATTTGCCGATGATACAAAAATCGGGGTGGAAATAATCACGTGAAATGGCCTAAAGATTGGCAGATGCAGTTTAATGCTGACAAATGTAAGGTTTAAGGCTAGGTAATGACGATATACTGTAATTAGAAGATACGAGCTAAATGGTGTCGAGATTGCAAAATCGGATTGCGAAAGGGATCTGGGGGTTATGATTAGTATGCAATTTAAAACCAAAAAATCAATACATAAATGTTCGTAATAAGGCAAATAGGACACTGGTATTTATTAAGCGAAGCGTTACTAGTAAGACACCTGGTGTTGTTCATCAGCTATATCTTGCTCTGGTTAGGCCCCATTTAGATTATGCAGTTCAGTTTTGATCGCCATACTATAGAATGGATATAAGTTCACTAGAACGTGTCTGGCATAGGATGACAAAGTTAATCCCGCATATGAGAAACCTGTCATATGAAGCAAGATTGACAAAGCTTAAATTACATTCTCTAAAAAGGAGAAGAATTATGGGCAACATGATAGAGGTGTACATGTGGATGAATGGACATAACAAAGGGGGATATTAATAGGGTATTAAAAATATCAACACAAGACAACACTAAATAATGGGTATAAATTGGACAAGTTTAAGATTTAGGGAAGACCTGGATAAATACTGGTTTGGTAAGAAGGTTGTTGATTTGTGGAACCAATTACTGTGTAACGTGGTGGAGGTGGGGTCCCTTGATTGTTTCAAGTGTGGGTTGAACAGGTATATGAGTGGGATTGGGCGGTTATAATTAGGAGCTGCCTCGTATGGGCCAATAGGCCTTCTGCAGTTACCTTTATTCTTATGTTCTCTTTCTTGTCTGATTTTTGTTGCCTGGTCATAGAATTAAATTAATCCTGTGAGGCAGGATTTGCCATTCCTGAAACCATGCTGATGACATGGAACAAAGTTCTTTTGTTCAGTATCTTACTTTAGATGGACGAGCATAACAGAGCTCAATTCAATACAGTATATCAGGTACAGTACTTATATACATTTAAGTCTATTTTTGTTTGTTTGAAAAGGGGAGGGGGTTTAATGAACAACCTGAAGTTAGGTTAATATTGTATAGAAATGTTGTTTTCTAATGCCATGTCATTAGTGGCAAACACTTGAGAATCATTTGAATTGTGAACACTTCCTATGGATAGTTGATGTATTGCATACAGATCATTGAGGCACTTTATTATTTGAATACAAAATACATTGAAATGTAACTAGCAAAGTGCAATCAGGATGGTGATATTTGTTTTCATGAATCCAAATACCACAGCATCCCATGGACCTATATCAGACATTTCCACAATCCCCAGGTTAATTAAATGTTTATACAGTATTTCACATGATTTTCAAATTATTCCTTGAAGAGTGATGCAATTTTTCCATGATGAAAAATTTACAAAAGAGGACCAAACAAATTCTCCCAATTACAACTCACCCCTACCATTTATCCGCACTTTTATACATTCTGGCCATGTTAGGTTAGTATTATTTTGAATGGTTAAAGTTATATTATTACTTTGTATTAATTGGATAAAGGTGAATTGACCTGAAACCTTTACTTACCAGCTATAGGCACGAGTGTTTCATTCCAACTATATTAGTGTGCCAATTTGGGTCAGTAGCCTGAGCATGTAACGGCCAAGTAATGGCTGAAATTATACAATACCCTTAGTACAGTTTATCATCTAACACTATACGTTTCCTGTTATTTTGTTTTGTAAAAGATAAACTCACATACAGTAGTTTAGGCTTGCCAAATAACTGAAGAAAATGTGTGAAACATTATTTATGAATATGATTTTATCTGTAAAATATAATTGTAATAAAGTAATAATCTAAGCTTATTACTGTACTGTATATGTATATACAGTACCTGGTGAATTTTTAACGAGTCATTTTATATTGCGAGTCCTAAATGCTACATGGATATTAAATTGTTTTAGTTATGTAGAAATTTCACTGATGTTATCATTATTGAAGTTATTGATAATTGAAGTCATTGACCATTGAAGTTATTGATTTGCTAAATATCTTCCACAAATATAAAATTAATTACTACATTTGAACTATTGGAAAAACTGGAGATTCCATATATTTAAAATTTTGTCATTTTCTAAATCTCTTCAACAATTAATAAATGATATCTTACTTCATTTAGTTTTACACTGTTGACCCAGGGGTGACGACAATTGAGGGATTGGAGGTGCCCAGTTAGTTTTAGGTAAAATAATAATAATTCATTGTGTCGGGGTGTAACGGACATTGGAACTACTTGTAACGTCCCAGACTGTCACCTCTACTCTCTAGGTAACAGACTCGAGTATCAAAGGACCTTAACGTCACTTACCCTGTCTTAACGGGTCGTTAATTAATGGTTATATTGTTCACCGTTGTTCCTTATGGTAACCTTCGTCCAGTGATGCCTTGTAACCTCGGTGTTTGATCACAAAGGTGCCACAGGTACAAGGATACTGTTCCTATCATATACCATACAATCAATTATAACCTGTAGTAATATCCTAGGCTTCACCAAAGAGACTTTTAATCGCTGCCACCACCTTCCCTAATACCCATGTAATTAAGCTATTATTAACTGCGAGGAAAGGCCAGTCAATCGCAGCATGAATCAAGTTAAATTTATACGGTGGGATAGAGTCTACTATATAGGGATAGAGTTGGTGAGGCCTATCTTCTTGAGGTTATCTTGAGATGATTTTGGGGCTTAGCGTCCCTGCAGCCCGGTCCTCGACCAGTCCTCCCTTTTGTTACACACCTCCAGGAAGCAGCCTGTAGCAGCTGTAACTCCTAGATGCCTATTTACTGTTAGGTGAACAGGGGCACCAAGGTTAAAGAAACTCTGCTCATTTGTTTCCGCCTCCACCGGGGATCAAACCTGGAACCTCAGAACTACGAATCCGAAGCGCTGTCCGCTCAGCTGTCAGGCCCTGGAGTAACATCAACTCCAGGCCTCACCAAGATCACACTGATCTGGACCTAGGTCGCCTACTCCACAAGGAGGCAAGCAAGCCGGCCTAACAATGGTGCTAACAACTTTGATAAGACTAATTATCAAAGCTAATGCCTATGTACTTGGCCTACTAAAGGGACTGAATCTTTATTCTCAAATGATGTAAAATTACATAGTACTTGAACAGTTATTTATTAAATACAATAATGAATAACAACATGAATTTCTGTAGTTTAAGGAATTAAAACAAAGGAGGATGTAGCAATCTAGACTAATCACACAAGCGCTAATCCTTGTGGCCGGACCTTTTGCTAGACTCGGGGAAAAAATTTACTATGATTATGCAACTAGATTGCACCCTTGTATACCATTTAATACATTTCATACAAGTTTACATCATATCTATATCAACAGCTAAACTGTTACAGGGGGACAGGAAGCCAGAGTGTATTCATACATGTTTGGTTTTTCATCGAGGTCCTCCTTGCCCCCCATGTCATAATTATTGACCCCACTCAGGATGCAACTCCACTACAAGCCAACTAATTCCCGAGTACCTACTCACTGCTAGGTGAACAGGTAAATTAGGTGATAGGAAATGTCCCCAACCATTTCTGTCCCGTTCGGGATTCGAACCAAGAATTCTCGATTGTGTCGAGAACAAACCAGTTTGTACTACCGGGACTCTCAAATGGGGTATTGCATCATCACTCTCACATATTATTGTCCTAATTATTTTTGTTATGTACGAAACACACTGTGTATTAGTGGCTTTATGTATTATATGTATGTTCATGAAGCATATTTATGTGCTCTTGCCTAAATAGAATAATAATACTACTATACTATAGTATATATATAGTAAATAATATATTATAATATTGGGGGCCTGACGGGTGAGTGGACACCGATCGGGGTTCATAGTCCTAAGGGTTCGGGTTCAATCCCCAACTGAGATAGAAACAACTGGGCCAAGTTTCTTTCACACTGATGCACCTGTTCACCTAGCAGTAAATAGGTACCTAGATATTAAAGTTGCTACAGGCTGCTTCTTGGGGATGTATATGTGTGAAAATTAGGATTAAGAACTTGGCCGAAACGCTACGCGTACTAGTGGCTGTACAAGAATGTAAGAACTCTTGTATTAATAAATAAATAAATAAAAAATAAGTAGTGGGGCTCACCTGTGAGTTCCGAGGTAATCACGGTGTTGTTGTCACCACTCAGCTGATAACCTTACCTCCTGCTTGGCAACAACAGTCTTTATTCAAATTATTGTCCTAACATATTTACGATGAAAACTCAAAGCGAAAAAAATTAAAAAAATTATAACAAGGTAAGCAAAATAGAACTATGACTAATAATGCATATTTAATTATATATATTTATTTCTAGCAAACCTTAAAGTTCCAATATTGTAGGCGATCAGCTGGGCTTAATAAACAAACCCCAATTTGAACCTTGGCACCGCCGGAGCTGGACGTCTTCAGCACTCAAGTTGCTTTTTATATTTAATTTACTTCAAGATGAGAGGATATTAAGAATTCTACTCCCCCCCCCTTCCCTGAGTACTGCGAGGAGCACCGCAATTATTACTAAAAATTCGGCGGTAGCATTCACATGGATTACAAAAGGATTAACGTCTGTGATTTGCTGCTCAAAGAATATATTAGAAAAATAGACGTCAAGTAAGTTCAATTTAGTGGTTAAAAGGAACAGGGTTCAACTTGGTGGTACACAAGGAACAGTTAAATTTAACAATGCACATGGTCTATAATACAATGTGTTGGTACACAAGGAACAGGATTCAACTGAATGATTTGCAAATACAAAATACAGTAATGGTTAAAAGTGGCACAAATTGTCCAGGATTCAACTTAGTGGTACAAGTTGTCCAGAATTAAACGTAGTGATGCACACATAATAGGGTTTATCTTGGTTGGTGCACATTAAATACTCAAACTTATTTGTGCTGTTCTCCCTCAACTTATTTGTGCACAAGGAACAGAGTTCAACTTAGAACGAACTTAGTCAAGTTCGTTCTCGACACACAATCAAGAATTCTGGGTTCAAATCCCAGGCAATACAGAATTGGTTGGGCACATTTCCTATCACCTAATGCAGCTGTTCACCTAGCAGTGAGTAGGTACTCTGGAGTTAGTCAGCTTGTTGTGGGGTCAGTAATTCGATCTAGGGGGGGGGACCTCAATATAAGCCTAGCATGTATGAATACACTCTGGCTGCCTGTTCCCCAACACAATGAATTATTATAAATTATTATACTGTATACAGACTAGGGTTCAGCATATCAGTGGAACAGAAATAGGATTCATCTTAGAGGCATACAGTTACAGGGGTCAAATTAGTGTGCAAACAACATACTTCAACTATCATTACTTGGTATGGAAATTACTAAGGTGTTTATCATTATTATTATTATTATTATTATTATTATTATTAATATTATTATTATTAATATTATTATTATTAGAATTCTATCAACATCAAGGGGCCCAAGACTTTTCATCACTCTCCCTCTACACATAAGGGACTGTGTTCAAGAGAGAACTTGATGAAGACCTTCAAAGGATACCTGATCAATCAAGCCATAATTCATATGTCAGGCTGCAAGCAGCTGCATCCAACAACCTGGTTGATTAGACCACCAACCATGAGGCCTGGCTGGTGGTCTAATGGTGGTCAGTGGCATTGGGGACATTGATCTCCAGTATCAACAAGAAGTAGGTGGCTTTTGTTGATTGGTATCTCATGCCGAATGCTGCTGCTGCTTATCAGGGTTGTCACCATTGATATTTCATTGATGAGGTTTCATAAGTTGCATGGTTTTGCTTCACCTGTGGTCTGCTAATTGTTCTCCGAGGCCTTCTTGGTCTCTGGGTCCCTTGCATTTATCTCTTCTTGTTTGTGTCCAATTTTTGTTAGTTATTTTGTTGACTTTCGCTTCCAGTTGTAGGGTTTGGGAGCTTCATATTCTCCTGAAGTGGGGGTTTTGTTTCTTTGACCCTGGTGGGTGGTTTCTTCATTTGCAGTGATCTCCCTCTTTTTGGCCAGAAATGAAATGGTGTTCCTTTTGGAATCTTTTGGTTATTACTTCTTGGTTTGTTCTGTAGAGGGTGCTTCTTAGTTCATTTGCAGCAGGTCAATGTCTTTACCTACCATTCAGGGTGCCCTGGGCCTGGTCTTGTTTGTCGATCTGGTATCCCTTGTTTGCCAATCTGGTTTCTCTCAAACCACCAGGGCCTGGTGGTTCAAAATGGTCTGCAGCATGGTTCAATTTTGATTGGACGTACCAGGCTTGTAAGGCATTGGGTTAAGTGCCAAGTGCTTATTCTCTTTTTTGGGTTACTGGACTCTGCCCTTCTGATAAGCCCTAGTTTTGTTGTGCTCCATAGTGAAATGCATCTTTATGGTGTGGCCCCTCAGAGGTTTCTTGTTCCTGCCCTTTCTTTTTCAGAGGCTTCAGGAGTCATCTGTGGGTGGTGCATGTCTGGGTGGTTGACTGGCTGGTTCCCTGGGCCTCTGGGACTGCTGTCTGGCAACAGAGTGCAACTGGTAATTGTCTAATGTGTGTGCTAACATTGTTAACAAGGATGTTAATGTTTCTACATGCAGTTGCTTGTTTTCGGGTGATCCACTTTTCTGGTGGATTTTCCACTTGGCTTAGGTTGTTCTAGTATATCCAGACTCACCTAGCTGCTAATGAGGGGGATCTGATTCTGCTTCTGGTTTCTGGTAGGTGCTTATGACTTGCAGGGGCCTGATGTGACATGTTAGGCTTAGAACTAACCAGGCGGCTAGTTCCAAGAGCCACGAGGAAACCACCAGAAAGAAGCATTTCATTACATTCAATGCTGAATTTATACAATACTGTGCCTAAGCACCTGCCTTCAGTCATAATATATATATATTCTGCTTCAGTCATAATATATATATATTCATTCTGCTTCAGTCATAATATATATATATTCATTCTGCTTCAGTCATAATATATATATTCATTCTGCTTCAGTCATAATATATATATACATTCTGCTTCAGTCATAATATATATATACATTCTGCTTCAGTCATAATATATATATTCATTCTGCTTCAGTCATAATATATATATACATTCTGCTTCAGTCATAATATATATATTCATTCTGCTTCAGTCATAATATATATATTCATTCTGCTTCAGTCATAATATATATATTCATTCTGCTTCAGTCATAATATATATATACATTCTGCTTCAGTCATAATATAAATAAACATTCTACTTCAGTCATAATATATATATTCATTCTGCTTCAATCATAATATATATATTCATTCTGCTTCAAGTCATAATATATATATATATTCATTCTGCTTCAGTCATAATATATATATTCATTCTGCAAATAAACTGATAGTTTATTTTCTTTCATTAGTTAATGCAATACTGTACACCTACTTATTTTTACAGAAATCTACGTAAAGCCTTAAATGGTGAATCGAGTGTGGATTCATTTATTACTAAGGATGGTTCAACGGCACTTCATCTTGCATCCTCATTATTTGATGAGGCTGACTGCTTAACAGTAGCAGAAGTTCTTCTTAGTCTTGGTGCTAACCCCAATATACCGTAAGTAGTTGGCCAATTTTTTTTTTTTTTTTTGTAGTGTAAACCATAAAATACTAAATAGCATATTGAATATATGTATTGTTTGCAAAAAAGTTTAATGAATACTGTATTGAATTTAGTTTCATTTAATATGGTATAAATAGTACAATGTTTGTAAAGTGTTTCAGAATTTATGTATACCAAATTGTGATACCTTGTTTCATATATAGGTGCACTTCAAAATCTTGATTACTGTACAGTACAGTATATCATTCCAGACCTGAAACAGATTTGTGTGAAATTCAGAGTTCCTGTTATTTGCTCATTTTGGGCTACTTGCCACAAAATATTCTAGATTTTTCTTGAAGCCAGTGATACATGTTTCTGGAGGGAGCCTTTGATTGCTCCATGAGGTTATCTTTCTGAGATTGCTTCATACTAAAAGGTTAATACACCTAGAGTTAATATCTGCATTGGAATCACCATGAACAGAAGCATATAATACTGAATCTTTCTAGGGGGAAGCCCATTGTAGCTCCCTGATGCTATATACTGAGAGTGGTTACCATCTACTGTGTTGCATCAGTCGTAGAGTTCTACAGGCTTACCGGGAACTGAAGCCAGAACTTGGCTCCCTCAGAGTTGTAGGGAGCGGTTACCATATTTTTTTCGCCACTTCACTGGGGAAGGCATCCAGAAAGTCAACAAGTCAAAGCTTAATGGATTCAAGCATGACTGAAGCCTCAAAACCAGCTGAAAGAGCTCCCCCCAACTATGTAAAGAAATAATTCTTTTGCAAACAAGCTTGCACTAGGTCCCCAACCTCATCAACTTGTTTTGGGGAAGGGGAAGGTAGCCCACCACCAGCCAGTATTACCAAGCCCATGTTGCATTCTAGTGATGTAGCAGTTACTGGGTCACCTGTCTCTTACTGGTTCTGGTGTCATGTTTATTCAGCTAAGTTGTGTGGTGTTTGCCCCTGGTGGTGTAGTGTGAGCCAGGTTTTCAGTGTGCATTGCATATGCTCAGGGTTTCCTTCTCTGGGTGCTCCCTAGTGCTGCCGTTGCACTGACAGTTCTCTTGTCAGGTGTGTTCAGGGGTTGCTTCCTTAGAGGTCTTCCTTGCTTTAGGTGGCCCTTGTCTTGGGTGAGTCGAGGGTTCCTGGCCCTGCTGTCATTACCCTGGTTAGGAGCGATGTTGGTTGTCAGGATGCACGAGGGTTTGCGTGCTCAATGTTTACAATGCACCAAGGTCAGCCTTCACAACCACTTGAATAAGGCTGTGTTGGCTTACTTTTAGGTTTCCCTTCAGGCCGTGGAAATTCCCTGTGGGTTTGGTAGTCCTCTGGCTATCGCCCCCAAACCTGTTCTTACTTCATGTCAATTTGAAGGTTGTTCATCGTCCTTGCCAAGGGGCAACAATCACTCTTTCAGCCTTCACCATGCTTTCTTTTCTGTTGGGTCAATAACACCTTTGATTCTGAATCCGTTGAGTTTTTTTTCTCTGCGTGTGACTCTTTCTGACACTCCTAATGAAGTTGGGCTTGTCAGACAACAACTGCTTTGTGTGTTCATTTTGGTAGCTTGTGTGCCTGAATTGATTCCCCTGGAGCTGCCGTATTTGGTATTTAGAGACTTAGAATTAGAGGTGTTGGTGAACTCCATCTTGGTTGCATCAGCACCTCTTCCTTCCCCTTTGAGCACGGCCTCCCTTCCTTTGATCCTTCGCCCTTACCCTGCTTTCAACCCCAAAGTGTGTGAGGGTTTTGGGATCACAGCAGGGTTTAGCTCGGGATGTAGCTCGGTCAGCTCTGGGGGCTGCCCCGTCTGAATCTGGCTCAGAGGCAGCTGGGCTTTGAATCTGATTTGTTAGCTAATTACCCTGATCAGGCATATTGGATTTTTTGCAGTTAGGGAAATTCATACCACTTCAGTCTTAAACGAAGTCTTAGGCTAATCTAATTTATCATTCCAGAAACAGAGAAGGGAAAACAAGTTTACACATTGCCGCATCAATGGGCTACAGTCGCCTACTGGATCTGCTACTTGTGAATGGTGGTGACCCCATTTTGTGTGACATGAAGGGAGAGTCTCCTGTGGATAGTGCCCACCACTACCATCACCTGCAAGTTGTTACCCAACTTAATAAATTCCTCAACACTGAGAATTATGGTGCAGCAAAGGAAAAGGCACTAAAGTACATATTATATTTCTGTAAGTATAGCATATGTCATAGAAATAGTTTTGACTCAAAACAGCAGTAGTATTGACTGAGTAATGATACAGTATGAACATTTCTAAAACTCTCTACTTTTTTAAATGACTGTACCTACAGTTATAGTTAATTCACTATCATTGCCCTGTTAGTGAAAAAATATTTGGGATATTTCCCATGTATTGTTCACACTCCCTAACACTCGTCATACTTGCATACCTTCTTCCTGACCTTCCTTTCCTCATACTTTCAAATACACACATTCCACAGGTCTAATGTTATCCATTTGTTCATGACATGCAGTTTATGGAGTTTTCAACGTCACACATGCTCTTAGGAGTGCAGTATTCTCTTTTATAAAAGTACATACCGTACAGTACAGTACTGTACTTTGGTTCTCAATTTTTTCACCTTCACACCTCACCATCTCTCAACCATGCATAAGTCACACCACCTCCACCATTTCTTCATACAGATGCCAAGCAGCATGTATTCCTGTCTTGCTCTCCATAAGCCTAGCTTCCATTTCACTTCTGCTTTTCAATGGGGCTATTTTGCGCGTCCTGCCATGCCTTCTGGACTCATGTGATGTTATTTCTGTGCAGATTTGGAACCAGTCCTAGTATTTTCCAAGTGTAAATTATTATGTATCTCTCTTGCCTGCAGTCTACGGAATACAGATTTAATTTTTTTAAAATGGTCCCAATAATTTACAGTATATGTATTATTGACTGGATTCTAGCAAAAAATAGCTCTTTGCACTAACCAGGCTAACAATCTTTGCATGCTAACCAGTTCAGCAATTTCTCCAGCTTTGAATGGGTCTCTTAATGTGCAATTTCACTCTTTAAAAGTGGAATATTGTACAATATATTTAAGACACTAATGTTCTCTAGAGCACTAGTGTCTTAGTCTCATCATTGGCATGGCATCTCTTGTTTGTAACATCTTGTTATCCACCCTGTGATTCTTCTAGCAGTTATTACAGCAACTTTGTTGTGTTCTTTAAATGTATGGTCTTCCGACATGATTACTACCAAATCTTTCATATTACTTTTTCTTTCAATAGTGTAGTTTGAATGCATTTTATATGTGGTTTGTTTTGATATTTTTGTTTTTCCATATTGCTGTAACTAAAACTTATCTGCATTACAAATTACACTATTTTTTGTGACCCATCAAAAGACTTGATTTATATCCGATTGGAGGTTTGCTGTGTCCTCTATATTGTCTATTGTCATGAAAATTGTAGTGTCATCTACAAATAATGATACAATGCTATAGCTTCTATCATTGTCTATGTCTGATATATGGATGAGAGAAAATACTAGAGCAAGCACGGTAACTTGGGGGCTGATCTTTCACTGTGGATGATCAAGATTTTACTTTATTGACTTAATTACAATCTGGGTTCTGTTAGGAAGTTAAATATCCATCTCCCTACTTTGCTAGTAATTCCTTTTGTGCATATTTTGTATGCTATAACACCATCTATCTTGAGGTTATCTTGAGATGATTTCGGGGCTTAGCGTCCCCGCGGCCCGGTCCTCGACCAGGCCTCCTTTTTGTTACACACCCCAGGAAGCAGCCCGTAGCTGCTCACATTTGTCAATTGGTCACATTTGTCAAAAGATTTTTAAAAAATCTGTGTATTACATCAGCATTTTGCATGTCTTCTATGGCATCTAAGGCCATGTCATTAATGGTCTAGCAGTTGAGAGGCAGGAGCACCTGGTCCTGAGCCCATGTTACCCAGGGTATTGTAGGCACTGTGATTACATGTGTTTTGTGATCTTAGTTCTTAGCACTCCTTCAAAGATTTGTGTGATGTTATAGCTCTTGGTCTATAATTTTGTGCATCTACTTTACTTGATGTAAACAATGTTGAGCCTATCCCCAGGCCAGGCTCGGAGAGTAGAAGAGCTCCCAAAACCTTCTCCACGTTGCTCCTGGTATACACCCTCCTTTGTGAAGTGGTTCGATCCACTCTGTTTTAAGTATGTTGGGATAACGCTAGTATTTAGGATCAATGTCAAAAATATGTTTAGGGCCTGTGATAGTGTTTTTTTTTTACAATTGCTGATGAATATGGAATTTGAGTAGCCTGGGCCTGGTGCAGAGTACATGGGTGTGCTGTCTATGGTTACTTCAAATTAACTTTTCTATTTTAAAGTTAAAAAGCTTCACAACTTGAAAGAGACTTTTCTTTCTTTACCTCAGTTTACTGGTTCCCCTTTGGCTTGTGATGTGATGTTTTTCTTAAGGCACTCTCGCCTCTGGCTGTTGGGTTGGGGAGCTTCAGGCTCTTCCCCAGAGGTGGGTGTTCTGTTCTTTTGGCCCTGGAGGCAGTTTGTTAATTTGCAGCCATCTCTTTTTCTGGTGAAGAATGAGTTGGCAGGCTTTCGAAGGGGGTTCTTTGGTGATCAATACTGTACTGTACTTGGTTGGTTTGGCTGTGGGTGCATCATTTGTTGTCCAGTGGTGGTTCTGGTACAAATGGTATGCCACCAATTATGTTTCAATGAATTGGTTGATCCCATTGCCTCGGTTCCCTGTTCCAAGGCTTGTATTTACCTGGTTGTTCAGAGTATCATCAAATATAGCAAGCCTGGGATCTACCCACGGGCTCATGATGTATGTAAATACATGGCTTTGGTCGCTGTTCTCTCTAATATGTCATGGGCTAATATTTAGACTTGGGGGTTTTGGTGTTTTAACAGGGTGTGAGCAGCTCAGTATGTGGTTAATGTTCCTAGGCCCAGTCAGTTGTGTGTGGCTTTGAGCTATGTCACTCGGCCTAATTTCTCTTCTTCACCTTAAGTGTCTTCCACCTCTCCTCCTTCTTGATAAGTCCCTTTCTTGTTCTCCGTGGTTAGATTAGCTTCAGGTCACCATAAGTCTCCCTGTACTATTTTATTTTAGTTTTATATTTCCCCATTTTGTTGTTTGTTTTGGTTCAATCTATTTTCCTGGTGGTGTTTTCCTTTGGTTAACGTTATCTTGAATCCACTGCTCCTTGCACTTTTGCGAGGGAACCAGGTTTTAGCCTCGGTCTCCAGTAGGCTTTTTAAGACTCGCATGGTTCTGATGTGAATCTGTTTGGGTGGAGCTATCCAAGATGTAGCAACAGGGAGCCACTGGAGAATCCACCAGAAAGAGGTGTTTCATTACATTGAATGCTTTTTTTTTTATTTTTTCACCACTGAAATCAAGAGGCCTGTGACTTTACCCTAAGGAGTGATAACATATTGGAAAGATTTGCCCGAAATGCTATGCGTATTAGTGGCTTTATGTATTGGATGTACTAGCTCTATCTGTAAACCCAACTTCATGTTTGTAACTCATCTTCTATGTATGTACTTTTACCTGAATAAAAATATTAATTTGAAGTTCAAAAGCTGGTCAGTCTTAACACTGAAGTGATATTGATAAGATTTGATTGTCTTCAGAGAATGATTTATACAGTGGCAAATGGAGTGTATTCAAGTAAATTTGAGTGAAGAGGAGGAGGAAGGCCAAAGCTGTGAGCAGATATGTTGAGAGTGTATGAAACTGAGTATTGTGTGTGTGTACAAGAAGCAAAAAGTGGTAGGAAATAATGCTGAATGAAAGCAGTTTAACACTTTGGCGTACCTCGCGCGCCACCCCTCAACTGTGCGATTTGGGCCCCAGGGTGTCACGGGAGTGTGCGTAAATTCTGAAAAGTGTATACTCTCTTCAACTTTGTCACCTTAATTCTCGTCCTACGAGATTAAATTTGGTATCATTGTGTTCGCAATAGAATTCTCTACAGCACTAAATGCATATAAACTCCAAAAGCCCGGCTAATTACCCGCAGCAAACAGAGAAAGTGCGAACGAGTTACCCAGGAGCGAGCAAACGCGATAAAATGTTTTCACTATTTTCACTCTGGTCACCTCAATTTTCGTCCTAGGTCTTTCATTTTGGTCTCAATGGGTTTGCAATAGAATTCTCTAGAGGAACATTTGCATATAAAATAAAAAACCTGGTCACGCTCCAACCACCGACGAGTTGAAGACGGGCCACGCGTTAGCCGCGAGTGAGCGCTCAGATGCCTTCCAGCTACACTCCCAATTCCCGCCCTTTTCAAGCCTTTCTTTCACAAATTTTTTCCTGGAAGGGCCTTGTTCATGATCACTATCCATCGTGGAGTAAGCGTAGATAGTTTTTAAAGCCGCAGTAAGAAAGATAGCCACGGAAAATAGCCGAAATGTTCACACGTTTGAGATGTGAGGGTAGGCGACATTGGTCACAACAGTGGAGTGAAAACAATGGGCCGACGGCATGTGCCGAGCCACCTGCGGGCCACGAGGCACAACAAGGAAAATGGGAAGACATCGGCGCGCATTTTAAAACCAGTCCCCAAAAAATTGGATAAAAACCTGATTTTTGGCGATTATTTAAAGTGGATGACGCAATGCTACGTCATCCCCGGCATCACCGACAGTAAACGGATGACGCAATGCTGCGTCATGCCCGGGCGAAAGTGTTAAGTGTGTGTCAAAGTGTGGCATTTTTGTATGTAGCTGACAACTGGCACTTTGTGGATGATTTGCCGATTCTGTTGATCAGTAGTGTCTTCTAAAAGGACGGGTGCCATTTTAAATATTTGTAATCTTCTCAGGGTAAAGGATTCCCTACTATATGAAAGTTGCTAATTGGTTATTGATAGTAATGAATTAATGAATATTGGCCATTTATATTTTTCAGTACGACAAGATGTTGTTGAACTGATAAGTGCCTCGCCAACTGGGGATTCAGAATCTGATACCTTCTTCTCCTGTGATTCCACCTACCAGCATATGGTTAGTGCTTTGTGTTGTATAGCAACATTAGTTTTTATACTGCCTATATATCTGAATACTTCTTAATTGTGATCACTAGTAGCATTCACAGTTCTTCAACAAACATTTAAATTACTGATATATTTTCTGGGGGAATCCCCTTGGTGGCTCCATGAAACAATATCGCTGAGATAGCTTCCTATTACTCAGTCACATCAGTCACAGGTATTTTGTTGGCCCACCAGGGACCAGAGGCGGAACCTGGCCCCACTCACAGAGAAGGGATTATTATGGTCAACACAAAACCCACCAGAAAGTAGACAAGACAAAACAGTACAAACAACTGCATGGTTCGTGAAAACAAAGCTCTGGCACAGCTTACAGGCTCTGCAAGAGATTAACTAAAAATTAAATGGTTCACTCAAAACTGGGTATATAGTACACATAGCTGCCAACAAATCTATATCTATAACATCACAAATCATAAAAATCTTTGAAAGAGTGCTGAGAAGTAAGATCACAAAACATTGAATCACAACATCTACAGAACCCTAGGCAACATGGGTTCAGGATAGGGCACTCCTGCTTCTCACAGTTGCTAGACCACTATGACATGGCCTTAGGTGCCATGGAAGACAAACAAAATGCTGGTGTGATATACACAGATTTTGCAATGCTTGTGACAAATGTGACCATGGTATTATTACACAGAAAAGAAAATACAGTACAGTACTGGCAAAGTAGGGAGATAGATATTTAACGTCCTAATGAACAGAACCCAGAGTGTAATAAGTCAGCAGTAAAATTTGAGTAGATAGTAGCAGGACTATCATTCAAACTTGCATGTAGCAAGTGCAGACTTGACATGTCTGCACATCCATCATGAGCCACGTCACAGATGAATTATCTGGTTTGAAGGTAGCTAGCCAAGCAAGACATTCGGGCATTAGGGATGCTCGCCAAAAGAACAGACACTGAACACAGCCTGTAAACAATATGGTTATGATGGGGGTACATGGCATATCATATGAACAAAGAGCGTATGTACTCTAGCACACCATACTCACAACCAAGTAGGACAGTCCCAACCCAGGACCTAAGCAGAGGAGTCAATGACTCATGAACTGCCCAAGGCAAGGCTCTACCCTGGTGGTCAAGCCTCTCAGGGGCAAACTCCCAAATACACCAGAGAAGTAATGTCAGTGCAGGGGCAGTACTAATAAGCATCCAGGGAAGGGAGCCCTGAGTGCAGGTAGCTCAATGTTTAAAACAAGAAGTCCATACAACAAGCCAGGAAGAAAATGTGCACATGAAGCAAATACTGTACTAAAAATTAAAGAACAAAACACATGCAAACCCCCAGCAGGACAACTTCCAGTGGATGACTTAGTTGGGAAGCAGTAGTACTCACCACAATGTCAGACGACCCGGAGAGCACAACTACATGGTGTTTACACTACCACATCAGCAACAGAACTGTTGGGCAGAGCAAGCATAGGCTCAAGCCCTGGGTCACCTGGTGGCGACTATTGGGACTAATGGGTCTGGATGCTTTCCAGATGAGGGAGATAATAATACATCCATTGCTTCTTGCCCCTCTCTGAGGGGGAGGGGGCAGGATCTGGCTCTGGTTCCCAGTAGGCCAAACAGGACTCATGCAATTGATGTGATCCAGTAGTGTAGAGCCATCTCAGTGAGATAACTTCAGGGAAGCACCAAGGGGCTCCTCCCAGAAAACGGCATTAAGTGCAATGAAATACCTCTTCCTGGTGGCTCCCTCCATAGCTCCCCGAAGTACCCACCTGGCTAACTGACATGTTCAGTACCCAAGAACTGCACCAGGCTCCATTGGTTCACAAGTGCCTAACGGGGACTAGGACCAGAATATGGCTCTATCAATAGAGGCAGGAGAGTCTTGGAAGCGAGGATCAACCCCACAGTACCCAAGAACAAATGAAATGTATTTTTGAAAATTTTTAATATGCATCTCTATTTTATATCATAGTAGGATAATTTCACTCTTCACAGGATTTTCCTGGAATTTACCCCTTTTGCAGATGAAAGTTTAATTGTAAGTGTTGTGTTAGGTAAAGTATACTTGATATGAAGATGGCAACTATAATTCTAATTTATTTATTTTTCTCTGAACAGGAAGAACATGGATACATCCCATCATCACCAGGCAAAGTATATTCAAAGGCTATGAACAACCGCATCTTCCCTAATGATGAGTCATTTTTTCAGGAATCTGTCATTACTAAGTGTCATAAAAAGAGTCAGTTAACCGAGAGAGACAAAGTTTCTGGTATCCAGCATGTGAAATTCAATAATAATTTCAATCTTCCTTGGATGAACAACCAAACATTTCTCTCTCGCTTAAAGCAAGAAGTTGAGATGCATCGTACAGGCAGCGACAGTGACAGTGACAATGACTTGATGTCATTATGTAGATGTCTTGGGAACAAATTAAAGCATAGTAATGTAACTAATTTTAACTCCTCAGAAGAGGAGTTAGAGTCTTTAAATGATTCTCCAAATGAATTTGATATTGCCCATTTGAATATTGATTTAACTTTTGATACTGTTGATGTTGGAGATCCATATTTTAATGGGACTTACATGCCATTAATCAAGACAGATCTATTCTTTTCTGATGGGCAAACAATATCAAATTCACTTCTAGACAAAACAGGAGAAACTGTAATACATAATAACGAATTTGATTACATATCAACTAATATAGTATTGCAACCAACCAAGAATACGTTTAGAGACCAAGACAAAATCAGTTGCAAAGTGACAAGTAATCTTCTCGCCAAAACACAAGGAGATAAAATGGAATTTTACAAGGAAAAATATTCTGATGTGACAGCGCCTATAGACAGCATTAAACCAGAGACCTCTACCACAGTGAACCTTATTAAAGCACCCCATAAAAAAACACAGTACATCTCAAGAACTAATAAACATTGTTTATCGTGCAAACAAAATTTTCCCAAACAGTTTGAGGAATTTAATGAGAATAGATACTCACTTGATGAAAGTGCTGTAGCTGGTAAATTGGTTGATGTTAAATTATCCCCAAAACACCAGGCGTTTGTGCAGATCACACCACAATTATCACTAAAGTCTTCAGCCACTAAGATTACAGAATCTATCTCCAGTTCGTGTCAGTCTTTTGTAAGTGTTGTTGAAGAATTTCTGTACGAGGACTCTGAGGCTGGAATTAAACTCATTGAGCGACGTTGTCCAACACCAGCTTTTGTATCCAGGTAAATCTCGGCTAATTTTGTTGATTTTCCTTTATTTTAACAAACTGCATGCACAAGTTTTCTTCTTCATGCTGTAATAATTGTCCTTTATTTTCTATAGACAATGACTGCTCATTAATTTTGACCTCATTAAGTCAAATCTCTGCATAACTCTGCCAAAATCATTACCAGTAATTGTCATTTAATTAGAATGGAATTTGGGTTACAGAGCTTAGTGCCAAGTTAGTGCTTTACATATATGCAAAACATTAAAGCTATTTAATAATAACATGAATGAAATAATTTGTGTGATTATCTTAGTGTAATTACCTAAATGTATGTACTAGATGAGACCTACACTTGTGGTGTCTTGTCTCCCTATAATCTTTGTCATAGGACTCTGAAATTACTAATCTTTTTGCCATCCCCCACCTTTTCACTTAAATTGTTTCAACTGTCTCCAACTTTGTTCACAAAAGGGAACTTTGTATATTTTTTCAGCGCCTTTTTTTTTTTTTGCTTAAAGTATGGCCTCTTGTTTTACAATTGCAATTTTTTTTCATCCCCCCTTCCTGTACGAATTTGATATGGGTTCTGTTCTGGGTTCCCTTGGGTTCTTCGGTCCCTTCCTTCCGGAGATTTTCGGCTTCCCGTATCCTGCCTAAGGCGGTTCGGGAGGCCATTGCAGCACACCACCTGCATGACCCAGATTTTGCCTCAATAATGGACCCTTCCTCGTTTGAGCTCAGTTCTACTTTTCCTTATTGGGTGTGATACAAGGTACCAGAGTCATCCTGGTTAGTCCTTTCTTTTCGCTGGGGACGTGGCATTCGTTCTGTTGGACCCACCCGCTCGAGTGGCAGGAAACTTCTACTGTGGTTCAGGTTTACTTGGGGGGGGGGGGTGAGTTCGAGCACCTCAATGCTTGCTGGTTGGCCCCCCCATTCTTCCTAAGGATATTGGTCAGGTGCAGTTCCGTGTGCAGGTTCCCATCCTTTCAGCGTCCTTGGTGGCTGAGGATTTGCATGCCTGGGAGAACTTGGCTTCAGTTTTGCGTTTCTTATCCCTGCTCGACCTGTCTTCAGACTGGCTTGAGGAGGCTATGGAGGCACTGGGGACCAGGCCTGTGTCTGGTGCGTTTGCCTTGGCAGCTTGGATGTCGGCTTCCTTGTTGAAGTTGTATCCTCAACTCCGTCAGGTCATCTTGGAATGGGTATGCTTGGGCGTGGTCAAAACGACCCTGTCCCTCAGGTGGGTTTCCTGCCTGTTTCCAGTTCAGAAATGGGACTGTGTGGATCTTAGGTTCATTCTGGACTTGTCCTGTCTAAACTCCTGAGTCTTCAGCTCTTTCTTTCGGATGACCACTCTGTTCCAGGTTCGGCTTCTTTTGGAGGCGGATGCTTGGATGGTCTCTAAACATCCGGGAAGCGTATTGGCATGTCCCAATTCATCTGGAGTTCAGGGACTGGCGCGGTTTTGTCATGGGGCATCAAGCTTATCGCTTTTATTGCCTTCCATTTGGCTTGAATCTGTCGCCTCGTGTTATCACACTCCTTACCCGGGCTGTGGTGACCAGCTTGCATCTGCTAGGGGTTTTGGTTCTGGCCTACCTCGACAACTGGCTTGTGTGGGCTCCCAGCCATTCTGCATGTCTGCTCACCAGGGGTTTGGTTCTTTCCCAGCTCACTGAGTTCTGGATCTTGTGTGGGACTCTTGGACTGCTTCCTTGTCTCTCCCTCTGGCGTCATTGCTGTGGTCCCGTCTTCGACTGTTTCCTGGGGGCTCCTGGGTCACTCGTCGTTTGCTTGAGCAGCTGTGTGGAAGGCTGAACTTCGCAGTGCTGGTCTACCCGCCGGGTCGGATCATTTTGGCGGCTGTTCTGATTCCAACGGGACGTCCCTTCTGCCGCTCTCGTGATTGTTGGGTTCGGCCTCCATGGGCCTTGCGTCGGCTGCCTCTTCGAGTTTTTCGGGGTTCAGTGCTGTGGTGCCTACCCGATCCCTCGCTCGATGTGTACACGGATGCATCGTCTCTTGCCTGGGGTTTTGTGACCAGTGCTCACCAGGCCAGCCAGGAAAGGTGAGGGGTCTGTCCTTCTGTCAGGCTCATAGCATGGTACGGGAGTTCGTGGCAGTGTAGCTGTCATTTTGGTGGGTTCGTGTCGCTCGTGGATCGATGATCTGGCTCCATTCAGACTGCTTCCCGGTTGTTCATTGCCTGAACTGAAGGGGTTCGATGCGGTCATTGGCTCTTTGGGGCTGGTCGCTTTGGGTGAATTGTCTGCTGGGTTCTCGGGGTTTGGCTCTCTTGGCAGTTTACATCCAGTGGGGTATCCAATGTCCTGGCGGACAGCCTGTCCCGGTTCATTCCCCTGTCCATGGAATTGATGGTCAATGCCGACTCATTCAGTTAGCTCTGCCGGATGTACGGGAGCCCAGAGGTGGACTTCCTTGAGGCTTCTCCTTGGGAAGACATCTTCCTGTCTCAGGTCTTAGGTGAGGACTTTGACTTTGCCCTAGAACCTTTATGGCAGACTTTCAAGATTGAGGGGCAGCCAAGGGAATGCCCTTGGGTACCTGTTGACCCTTCTTGACTTGGCTACACGGGTGCATAAGCTCTGGAATCTACGAAGACCCACCAGAAATAGTGTTTCATTACATTCAAAAATATTTTTAAGTGCAGTTTTGAAATTTAATAAATTTGAAACATACAAGAGTAACTGAGAAACTTACTAGTATATTCTACTGTTAGCATATGCAGCGGAATGAGCAAGCCATTGACAATTACCAGCCACACAACAACCCAGAAATTGCCTGCCATGTGTGCACTCAGTGGTCAGATAACGTCTATTTCTTTTTTATTAAATATGTCTAAATATACTGACATATTAATTGCCAATGAGATAAATGTATAAATAATATTCTAACTGAAATACATTAATTGAATCATATGAACTCTACTCACAAGCTCATATGCTTTGTCACAGATCAAAGTGTAGATTCTGTTGGCACATTGACTGGGAGTGTGAAAGCGATGAATGCTGATGAGCTGCGTGCATGCCTCACTAAGATGGGGTTTGTGCCAGGTCCCATTGTTCCCACCACCCACAAGATCTACCAGAGACATCTGCTCAGACTCAGGAAGAACCCACATCTCGTGCAGAAGGATAAATCCAAATGTAAGTCTGGTTTATTGGATAATTTTATATAGTAATATATTGAGTGGAAATGGGCATGAGAATATAATGTTTAGGATAAGGGGGACATTTTATTTTATGTCAGTAATACACAAAAGTCAAAACTGTGACTTGACAAAACTATGTAAAATATAATGACATGTGAAAGGGTTAAAAAGCTATGGAAGATGATAGCAAAATTAGGCTTGTGGTTTAGAAGGAAAGGTCCTTTCTGTGGAAGCAAGACAAAGTTATGCTTCCCATTGGACTCCATCTAGAGGTCACTGTCATTGTGATCTTCCATACATTGTTGTGTTTTATGAATTTTTCTTGTTAGGACTCTCCAATAGTTTTCCCTTGCATTACAGCACTGGCACCTAGTATCATGTTGGATGTGCCAGGCATCTGAGACAGTTTACATCTATTGGAAGTAATGATCATTTTACACTAATATACTTATCCTATGAGGTGAATTGTTCTTATATATTGAATAATAAAATAACCTCAAACATATTAATACTGTACTATCAACATATTAATACTTATTTCATAATTGACAAACCATATTAATAATATTCTTCTTCAGGTTACTTGTACCCCTACTGCAGGTCAAAATATACGTAAATATACTATCTCGGTAATAATAATAATGCCCTAAGCACTTCTATATCTACTCGTCCCAGCCTAACAAGGTTCGCCTTAAAGCGTCAACACAATGTGGCATCGCATGAGAATACATAACCATCACAGATCAATTTGAAGTTAAATCAATAATTACCAGTATTCATATATACGGTATAAGTCAGTATTGTTCCTACAGGCTAATCCTACTGGCAACCTTTCATTCCTCCAAGAATAAGTAAATCATATATACAGTACTGTATATATATACAGTATATATCTATATATATATATATATATTTTTTTTTTATATACCTAAAAGGGGTACCACCTCTGGTGCAAGTGTAGGGACCCATAGCCTCAGAGAAGAAAATAATGAGTACTCAGAGAAGACCTTGTGGATCCTCACTGAACACTTTGATATTTTCTTCCCCTACCACCCCTATTCTTTTAGTGTGTGTGTATATATATCTAACTTTATTTTAAAATTTCATTACACAAAAAAGGGTTACAACATTGGTTACATGCGAGGTACAAGACTACTTGTCACAAGTTGTACAGCTCCTCCAGCTCCTCAGATGGCGGGGTGGAACCATGGATGCAGTGAGCATTTCCTCTCTGGATCGCCACACTAAGGCGCTGAAAGAGAAAACTGGCGGCTCTAGGGTCTTTAGTTGTTTCAATTAGCTTGGACCCCAGTTCCTTCGAAAAACTTGCAGCACTTTTACCCCAGGCACCAAGTGTATCTGAGGCAATGGGGACAAAATTGTAGTGGTGATCAAGGTCTCCATATTTACATGACTTGGCTGCTTCCCGGTGATTGGCAGCACCTCCTGCTTGTGTAGCACTGAAGTTAACATAGGTGTTGGCTATGGTTGATATGTTGTATGATAGTATTACTTTGTATATGTTGATAGTATTAATATGTTTGAGGTTATTTTATTATTCAATATATAAGAACAATTCACCTCATAGGATAAGTATATTAGTGTAAAATCTATATGTAATATACATGAGTACACACACCCTGGTACTCAGCTCTGTGGACCCCAGTGTTCTGGAAAGCTCACTTTACAGTCTCTCATACAGGGATGCGGCAACTCTCACTGTCCAGTCGAGGCTTGACCTCTTGGCCCCCACTTTTGTAACTCTTGTATTTCCCTCGCACAGGGATGCAGCTACCCTCACTGTCAGCCTGGGGCTCTAACTCTTGGTCCCCACTCTTGTAATAACTTAAGTACCTCATTAAGGGCTGGTTCCTCACAACCACCCTGGGGCATCAAACTCATCCCCTTGGTTCACTAATACACCTCACAGCTGCACACTTGGCTGACAACTGTCAACAAAGTGGCTGGCCTAGGATACGTCGACTCATATCATGACACTCTCCAATGTTACAACCTGGAAATGTCCAAGCCTTAGAAACTATGCCAGGCCTCTAATGACACGCAAGGCACTTTAAGAATCCGACTGATTAGTTGTTATTCTTGGGGTTCTGTTCCCTTTCAGAGGCAGGCTGCTCAGGAGGGAACCTCGCCTGCTGTTGGTCAGGGTAGGTCCTTGGGTGGATCAAGTTCCTGGGTCATTGCGCTTCATGAGGAGGCTGGTTTCTCTCGGGATTCATGCCGGCATTTTTGTTGTTTACCCCTTTGATACCACTATTATCGGTTGATTAACAGTTGAGAGGGTGACCAAAGAGCCAAAGCTCAACCTCCCTGAACACAACTCCTTGCCCGAAATGCTGTGCGTATTAGTGGCTTTAGGCATTGTATGTACTAGCTCTTTCTAGAAATTCAACATTGTAACTCATCTTGTATGTATGTACAGTATGTACTTTTACCTGAATAAACATTTTGATTTGAAGTAGGTGAGTACTATTTGAAGTGGGAGGGGGGGCATCTGACTCTTTTTCCAGCTCTTGTTTGTGGGCTTTTCAGGTTATTTCTCACAGCCTGTTATGGAACTGGTTGGTTCCTTTCCCATATTTAGGGTTCGTAGTGTTGGGCCAGGCTTCTTCCCTGACATTGTTGGTTGGTTGGCCTCGGGTGTGGTCAAGGTAACCTCATCCCTTCGGTGGGTTTCCTGGTTATTCCCAGGCCTGAAGCTGGACTCGGTACAGTACGTACTTAGTACGTGGTCAGTAGACCAGTTGCATAACAATAACATTGTGTATACAGTACTGTATTGTCATTTCATATTGTGATTCATATTCATCATATTCATTTCATGAATTGTGATTTTTTATGCTGTATATTATTGTATTGTACTTTCATCTGTTACAGTTCTGTGTTAAGATGATATCACTGCAGTGCTTGCATTTTAACTGACAGAAGTGTTTTAAGTGTACCACTGTATACCAGTTGAATTCCCTTGTGTTTGCCAGTGCTAAAGAGAGATTATCACAAGTGTTCAGATAGTTTATTATGTGGCCTTACAAGTAGCAGAGACCAAATTCTTATTATACACCAAAGCCTCATTGTATCGTGTCCTGCTGGGTGTGTGTTTAGCTTTTGTGGCCGTGATACACTGTTAACGTAAAGGAATGTGTTTAATAGTGTTAATTTACTTTAATAAATTAGTGTTAAGTTATGCTTTCAATCAAACTCTTTTCCCCACACTACTCACATACTAAGTTACACAAATCCCTTAATGATTCACTTAATGATTCTTGACACAGTCTTAAGGGTAGAGCTGCTTCACAGCCTTGCACCAAAATTAGATATTGGTGAGTGTGATCCCCTTAGCGTTCTAAGCCCTCTAGCACACTTCCATTAAGGTAGGACAATGACCTCAATACATTAAGCTAGGTTTTCTAAGGGCTGCTGCTTTGTGGCTTCCCAAAGCTATCTTGCTGAAATAGTTCCCCAATACTGGGTCACATCAATTGCAGGAGTCTTGTTTGGCCTACCACAGACCATAGTCAGACCCTGGCTTCCTCAAGGAGGTACAGGAGGCAGTGGATGATTAATGTCACCCTCACTGGGAAAGTATCTAGAAAAGTCATTGAAGCTTTACAGACAACTGCAAGGTTCATAAGAAATGAGCCCATGAAACAACCAAATGACTCCACAAACAATTTGGTCAAAACAGTTAATTCACTTGAAACTAGCTTGAATCTGTTAATACTGATGGCCACCAGCTGTGGGCTGGCTTCAGAGCCACAGCTGGCTCTAAAGTTACTGTTACTGATGTTCAAACCACACTATTGAAAGAAAATGCAGTGTCAAAGATTTAGGAGTAATCACATTGGAAGACCTTACTTTTAAAGACACAACAAAGTTGCTGTCATAATTGCAAGAAAAATGATAGGTTGCATAACAAGAAGCTTTCAAAGAAGAGATACCATACCAATGATACTTTTCAAGACATACTGCTCTCTCGAGTGGAATATTGTTGCACACTAATAGTTCCATTCAAAGCTGGAGAAATTGCAGACATGGAGAGCACACAACATATTTTTACTGCTAGAATCCACTTGATGAAACATCTAAATTATTGGGACTGCTTAAAATTTTAAATCTGTTTTCTTTAGAGCACAGGCAGAAGAGAGAAATAATAATTTACACCTGGAAAATACTAGGACTTCTTCCAAATCTACACAATGAAATAAGCCCACATGAGACCAGAAAGCAAGAAGGCTGCTAGGACTTTGTTCCTCATAATCATTGACAGGTATATGACAAGTGTAGATGTGATCGAATCCAGTAGTGTGCTCCTTGGGTCCCCAACTATCACAGCAGATCCAACCATTTCTCAACTAAGTGCCAGCCACTTTGTTAACTTTATCCTGCAGGAGTCATTTTTTTGTTAGTTCTTTTCCTTCTAGTATTTGCTTCACATGAATGTTTACTTCCCAGCAATCTTCTGTAGATCTGGCAATTTTTATGCTACAGACTGCATTTGCTCAGGGTGACCTTCCCTGAGTGCTCCACCAGTGTTGCTCCTGCATTAACATAGTTCCTTCTCTGGTGTGTTAAGTTCACTCCTCTGATGCATCATTTAAGTAAGGATCTTGCCTTGGCAATGAATGAGTTGTTGACTTCTCTGCATGGGGCCCTAGGCTGGGAGCATCCTATTTGGTTGTGCTAGGGTACATGTGTGTGCTTGTTTATATGGCATGTCACAGACACCCTTCATAACTGAGATTTTTGTAACACAGGTACAGGAACAGATGACTGCTGACTCCTGTTAGGAGGCTGAGAACTTTATCTCATAGTTCATGGTAAGCCTTACCCACTAATTTTCCTTGAAATATGACATGCCAATTGTTTAACAACCATGTACCCAATCACTGCTGGATGAACAGGGGAGTACACAGTTGAGAATTGGTGCCTAGTCAATCCTCCCTGGTCAGGATACGAATTTAGGCCAAATCACTCATAAAATGCAGGGCAAGTGTGTTACCACTGCACCACTGTAGGCTGCATTTGGTGTCTGTTCTTTTTGTGAGTTTCCTTAGTTCTTGGGTGTCCTACATGGATAGTCCCCATCAGGCTCTGGTAATTTTACCTGTGGGGATAACGTGGCTCCTCAAGGATTGACTCATCATGTCCGTGAGTGTGGACTTTGCTAGGGACAATGTCTTTCTTTCTCAGGCATTAGCATGGAATATTGTTCCCCTCTACCCCCAGTGCCATCATGACTCGCTTTAATGGCTGGGGGTGGGGTGGTTGGAACCAAGTAGGGTGCTTTTCAACTCTTTTTGAATGTTGGTTCCCTTCTCTGGAGGGTATTTTGCTCCAGGAGGGCGATTTTCTATCCCCCCATCCATTATGTATGAATTTGATTACTTAGCAAGTCCTTCCAGGAAGTGCCATTCAGCTCTTCAGACTTGTCTTATATCTGGAGGTTTCTGTCATTACTTGTTGCATCCTCTGTAATTCGTGTGATTCCTGCTTCAGAACTTTCTGCAGAACTCAGACCTTGCTTCGTTGATTGACCCGGCCTTGTTCAAGTAAGCGTCTATAAAGCTTCACAGACTTTCTGGACACATTCCTTGTAAGGGTGTTAATAATTGATCATTCCCTGCTTCCTGTGCCTCTGAGGAAGGGGGGGGGGGGCAGGGTCTGGCTCTAGTCTCCAGTAAGTCAAACAGGACTCCTGTAACTAATGTGACCCAGCAGTGGGATCCATCTCAGTGAGATAGCTTCGGAGAGCCACAAGAAAACTACCCGAGAGTGGTGTTTCACTACATTCAATGCTGGTTTGTTGCTCCAATGAGTTTTGTAAAAAAAGGTTCTTTGACTAATTATATTTCACCCTCATTTTCATTTAGCAATTCCAAAGTATTCCCGTGAGCTACAAGCAGCACTGGACGATCCCCTCTCAGTAAACTGGGAATCTTGGTCATCACTGGAGAAGGTTATGAGTGCTCCATTCTGCCAACCTGACCCCACACGACACTGGAGAGATGGCACAAACAAAACTTGTTTCAACTATTTGCTGCTTGACCCTAGGATTACCCAGGACCTGCCATTCAGGTAACAGTAGAGTAAAGCATAGAGGGTTGAAGCAGTTTGAAGTTTCCCGAATAATTTTTTTATTTTGTTACACCTTAACCCTTGCACTGCACTAACCGAGATGGATGGTGTGCTCACAGAAAAAATTCACTTGTAGGTACACATATAGTATAGGGAATTATTGAAAACTCCTGGAGACACACTGGACTCACAACCTGTTTCTCAGAACTCCAGTAAACAGGTACGTCTTGAAAATAAATTGTCTGCATCCTTCCTGACTGTAAGAGCTTCAGTACTGTCAGTGACCAAGTCTGGTGCATGTAGCAGGAGCTCAAAGCACCACTGTGTAGTTTGAGGCCACAACACCACCAATGATGAATAAAAAAAGTACAGGTAACTGTACAGTAATTACTTAACGATGATAGTATCAAAGATGATCCTAATTGAAATAAAAACTATGTATAAGGTTGATTTATCAGTGAACACTACTGGTTATGATATTCACAGCTGAAGGCAAATATTCACAGCACTCAGCCGAGAATTCGTGCTTTTATGCATCATTTATTTTCTAAAGGAACTGAATCTACACACACCCAGGCTTTCTGTCCCTGACAAAACAAATAATTATTATTATTATTCATTATTATATAAGCCTAATACTTGGCACCAAGTCTAGATAGTGAAAAAAATGTGATGCACTTACAATTACAGTAACTGGAAAATAGCAAGGTATGTAGAATATAATAATTTACAATCAGTTGAAACTTTTAGCTGGAGAAAACTTATATTAATGATCATTGTTTTTTCAGAGCACCGGTTTTGGATGAAGTAGAGAAGCTGCGTTGTTTCATTTCAGCCATATTTTACATAGGAAAAGGGTCAAGATGTCGGCCATACTATCACCTTTATGAAGCTATCAAGAAGCAAAATAATGGCAATAAGGTAAAGATTTCTTCTTCTACATATTATAAACGTAGTATTGTTTAGAAATATGATTCCTGGAGGAGCCCCTGTTAGCCCTAAGCACATGCAACTCCAAGCTCGGTATTAGCCAGATGCACGCGACGCCAAAACATGCTTTCCATGCCTTTTGCATGCTTTACAGGAGCTGGTATTTACACTGTATTCTATTTTATGTAGCTGAAAAGTGTTCTTGAAAGCCATTCACTCTGGAGCAGCATTAGGCAACAGGCTACACGGGACAACAGGCTACATATGACAAAGTCCAAAATGCCCAGCACTTAGCTGAAAACTTAGCTGGGACTTAGCTTGTCCCAGAAAAGCACTGGGACTTACCATGGCTTGCTGACAATTCAAGAGCCCTTCAGCAAATGTGTTGGTCACACTGCATCAATGACAAAATTGATGGCGTTGCCAGTGAGCTCGAGCCCCTCCATCCTCCCCAAACTAGTGAATGAGCACATGTTTGTTTCAAGGTTTTATCCTTTGTTTACAATGTTAGGAAGTTTGTTTGGCAGTTTTGAGGCTTTGGACTTTTTGAATCCATTAGTGGCCTGTTCTAGTTTGCTAACTTTCAGGATGCTTTCCTGGTGGGGGTGGCAGAATGCCACCTGTTCTCTGTTAGGATGAGGAGTGGGGCCAAGGTTCTGGTGCTGGTCCCTGGTTGGCCAAACAGAACTCCATGGCTGATATGACCTAGTAGTTGGGAGTCATAGCTTCAGGAAGCCATAAGGGGTTTCCCCCAGAAAACATTACCTTGGCTACGGTGGTTATCTTGAGTTGATTTCGGGGCTTTTTAGTGTCCCTGCAGCCCAGTCCTCGACCAGACCTCCACCCCCAGGAAGCAGCCTGTGACAGCTGACTAACTCCCAGGTAACTATTTACTGGTAGGTAACAGTAAAAATTTCTTCGCTCTTCTGGAGCGAAGAAATCTCACGGTATCACAAAATTATCCTCGTTCCTGAACAAGCACCCAAAAGGGTCAAGCAGGCCATTCAGTCAGTAGGAGTTGACATGAATATACAGTATATTCTTTGATAATTTAATTTCATTATTAGTGATCTGTTGTTTTCACTTTTTTCACTTAGTGTGCACTAGGGTGTCATTTGAAGTTCTATGTACTAAAACTTGTGGAACATTGATATTATCATGTGTGTTATTAGTATGCACACCAAAATAGTTTATTTTACATTAAATTACAAAACTATTTTTGCTGTTATATCTCCACATTCACTATACAGGGGTACCTCGGTTTAAGAGTTTAATCCATTCCTGGAGACAGCTCGTAACCCGAAAACTCATAACCCGAAGCTAATTTCCCCATAAGAAATAATGGGAAATGAATTAATCCATTCCTGACTACCCAAAAACCTCACTTCAAAATAAATTTTATACCTAATTCATCAAAATCTACACTACAAAACTATGTTCAAGTTATTACTTACCATTGCTGATGACTGCTGTTGGCATATGGAAGATGGTAAGGAGGGGGAAAGGAGGAGATCTGTTACTGTTTGGAAGGAGAGTCCCCTTCCATTATAACATCAGGCAGTGAGGACCTCTCAAGGGTGCATTCTCTGGCATGTTTTGCCTGCATACCACTAGGTCCTGGTTGTGGCTCACTGCTCGATGTTCTTACAACAAATCTGTCCATGGAAGATTGTTTTTCCCTTCTGTGCAAGATGTCTCTGTAGTGAGGCATCACATTGTCATTGAAAAGATTAATGCAATGGCCTACTACAGCTTTCTCTAGATGAGTCTTTTCAATAAAAGTTTGCATCTCTTCCCACATCTGACACCACTTCTTGGTTGCGGAAGGGACATTTGCTACTGCCTCATCCTCCTCCACTGGAGAAATATCCTCAGCTGGGTCTTCTTGCTGTTCTTTTTAAAGGGCTTGGAGTTCTTTGGTGGTCAGTTCTTTGTTGTCTTCTTCCACCAACTCATCCACATCATCACCATCCAATTCCAAGCCCATTTGGCAGCCCAGAGTAACAATTTCCTCAACAATGGACATATCATTTACAGGGTCAAACCCCTCAAAGTCTAGTTCTGGCATACATTCAGGCCACAATTTTCTCCAGCCAGAGATCAGGGTTCTTTGAGTCACTTCTTGCCAGGCTTTGTCAACGAGTTTTAAAGAACTACAAATGTTAAAATGGTGTTTCCAGAACTCTTTGAGGGTGAGGTTTGTGGCTTCAGTCACTTCAAAACATTTCCGGAAAAGTGCCTTTTCATAAAGTTTCTTAAAATTTGCTATGATTTTCTGGTCCATAGGCTGAATTAGAGGAGTGGTGTTAGGAGGAAGGAATTTTACTGTGAGAAAATTACTGTATCTCTGCAACAATTCATCTTCCAAGCCTGGAGGATGAGCAGGAGCATTGTCGAGGAGAAGCAGGGCCTTGAGTGTCAAATGTTTTTCCTGCAGATATTTTTCTATGGCAGGACACACCACTTCATTCACCCTCTCTGAAAAAAAATACTAGTCACCCATGCCTTATTATTAGCCCCTCCACATCACACATATGTTTTTTTCTGCACTTTTTACTGTTTGAAAACCCTTGGATTTTCAAAATGATACACTAGCAAGGGTTTAATTTTCAAATCGCCACTCGCATTTGAACACAGCACAAGCGTAAACCTGTCTTTCATAGGCTTGTGTCCGGGCAATGCTTTTTTCTCCTTGGTAATGTATGTCCTCTTAGGCTATCTTTTCTAGAACAGTCCTGTTTCATCACAATTAAACACCTGTTGCAGTAGGTATCCCTCAGCCTCTGCAAACTCTTTAAATTCTTCAATAAATCTTTCAGCCGCTGGTTTGTCTGAGCTGGCAGCCTCCCCATGCCTCACAACACTATGAATACCGTTTCTTTTTCTAAATTTCTCAAACCATCCCCTGCTCTCCTTAAAGTCTTGTATCTGCATCACTCGTTCCAGGGGTTTTCTTTACAAGGTCTTCGTGCAATACCCAGCTTTCTCACAAATGATGGCCTTTGAAACACTATCACCTGCTAACTCCTTGTTGTGTATCCAAATTAATAACAACTTTTCAACTTCCTCAAGTATTTGTGGCCTTTGTTTCGTGATTGTTGATACTCCTTTTGCCACATTAGCAGTCATAATGTCCTTTTTCTTGGCAAGTATAGTGCATATCATTGATGTGGATTTGTTGTACTGCCTACTAAGTTCAACAACACGTGCACTATTTTCATGCTTCCGAATGATCTCTTACTTTTCCTCTATTGTCATCCTCACATGCGATGTCTTGCCTTGAACCTTACCACTGGCTTTCTTGGGACCCATTGCGATGTATATTATAACAAATTTTATGCTCAAATAGCAAAAAACTCCGAAAATAAATGGTAAATCCTTGTGAAGAATTCGGGCGGGATAGTCACTGGGTGCGAGGCACTGGCAAACTGAGCGGTGATTGCCGTGCCACCACGTGCTAGGTCGGCCTGTATGTGTATCAACAAATTCGTATCCTGAGGCAACCCTCGTATCCCAATACAAATTTTCCAAGCAAATCCTGCTCGTAACCCGAAAAACTCGTAACCAGGGGCGCTCGTAAGCCGAGGTACCACTGTATATATAAATGTTTGTTCCATTGCAAAGCAATCAGAATTTTTGGAAAGTGGGATATTCACTGAAGCAGTTTACATGACACAGGATAGCACTGCACTCTCTGCACCATGTCATCACTACTTTTCATGTCTTTGGCCTTTGTGTGTTTCTACAACCAATGTACTCAAGTTGGCCTCTTACATGCTTTCCAGGAGCTGGTATATACACTGTATTCTATTTTATGTAGCTGAAAAGTGTGTTTGAACACCATTCTCTCTGGAGCAGCATTAGGCAATGTTGGGGTGGCAATGCCTCTGGTTATAACATGAATATCTTTGTTGCACTTTGAGAAAATCTGTAGGAGCTGTGATAAGGTTCGAACCAATGTGCTGGGTGTTCCCAGGCATGCACTCGAGAAAACTGTGCCACGACATTGATACATCACGATAGCGTGATAGAACTGTTTAGCATGGTTACATCAACAAGGTAGAAAAACATCTTGGTCCACATGACAGTTTGGCATACACACTCAACAGTGCCAACCATCTTGTCACACTTTTCAACTAAATGCTTATTTATGATGTAGTCCATGACACAGTCTGGTTCATATACTGGCTCCTTTGTTGTTTTGTTGATCTTACCACTGTTTATCTTCTTACCAGTATGACTGACAACATATTAACTTGGCATCTCTCTCTCAAGTGCACTACAGGCATTTTGTAGCCTTTTATTTTTTCTGGGATTCACCTACCTGTTGAAGATTCTGGGGGCTAATGACCCCGTGGACTGGTTTCTGACCAAAGCCTGGTCAGAAATCTCCTGGTTGCTGGTCTGATCCACCAGGCTGTTTTGTGTGACTTTTTTTTGTGTTCTGGTGGGATTTTAGTGTATATGTGGCAATCTATGATACTGTACCCAGGCTTTCCTTCATCTCTTTGGGAGAGTCAGATTCTGGTCATGGTTCCTGGCAGGCATTCGTAACTCTCTAGAGCCTTATTATGTTACCCATGGCTTGGTTGCTTTTGGGTAACTGGGAAGCTACAGAATGGCCCACTAGAAAGTGGCATATTATTCCCAGTCAACACTAACTTTTTTTATTGATTTATTACCAGTCTGTAATATTTAATGCTATACAGATGTATTACTTTTCCTCAACCCGTCCTCAGACCAAGTCCATTCCATCCAGCAGTTGAGCCCAAAGACGCATTCATCAATTTTAACATGTTTATTCAAAATAGGAATTTTCTCAAATATAAATTAATATTGTTAGATACTGTACTGTATTAGCATACTGTGCATATTTAGGCATTGGTTAGGTTAGGTGTTTAGGTTCTGTTGGTGATTATTTGTACAATATTTGTAGTACATGGGTGAATTATTTACAACATTGTGGATCGAACAAAGTTTGTCAGCAAACCGCTTGTTTTGGAAGTGTTCGGACATCATCAGTTGAGTCATGTGTAAACCTGTTTTTCATTCATTAACAGGGGGTTTGGTGGGTGCATGGAATGGACTTTTGGGCCTTTATTTAGAGGATGGGGCTGTTTTCCTAAGTATTGAATCATTATGAATCAAACTTCATTTAACATTTCAATTTATTTACATGCATGCTAAATGTGATATGAATGGTAAATTTTGAAATTGGCTCTTACACCGAATTTATTTATCCTCAGAAATGTGAGAAGATTAAGAGGATTCATGATATCTGGTCAGACGGTGTTGGCGTGGTGTCGCTGCACGTGTTTCAGAACACTATCCCTGTGGAGGCATGGACAAGGGAGGCTGCCATGATTTCTGCAATAGGTGAGATGCTAGACCATCTAAATCTGAATATAAACTGTCTTACCTCTGAAAAAATTGCATAAAAAAATTTAATCTCTTGCCAAGACAGTATTTATTTATATCCATAATATTGTACAATTTTTCTAGGGGGAGCCCCGTCGGTTCCCCAGAGCTATCCAGGCTGATATGTTAATGTTTAATGTCAGACTTTGGCATCAGTCATGTGTATGGAATTCTGTGGGCCTACTGGGGACCACAAGCCAAAACCTGGCCCTCTCAGAAGAGACACGAGGAGCAATGGCCTATAGAAACCCCAGTGTGGTTGGAAGCATTCTATGTCTGCCATTGACCGGGTCAGGCACCCAGAAAGGTAAGTGTCCCAAAACAAACTCCTATTCTGGTGAAAATTGCTATGAAAAGCCAAACAAGTGGATAGAACTCCCTAAACAGAAACGGGCAAACGAGTATGACGTCATACGTCCCCTCGCCGCTGTCTGCGCAGCTTCCCCCTCCCTGGTAGGGAAAAGGGGAAGCCCCAGACCCCCGCGCAAGCAAACTACCTCTCGGTTCTGAGGCTAATGCTATAGGCAACAGTCGTGTGCTCTGGCTCCAGTGGTTGTTTCAGCACTGTACCTTGTGTGTGTGGTGACTATCTTCTAGGTGGTGCGTGAGCCAGGAGTGATTCTTCAGTACTTGGGCTGCATGTGCCTAGGGTTTCTTTCCCTAGGTGCCCAGTAAGTACTGCCCTTGGGGCTTGGTGCAACCTTCCACAAGTTTCTTGGGTTCTGCTCCTACTAGGCTGTTTACTGCTTAGTTTTCGGCCGCCCTTTGTGTGCTTGGGTGTTCTGTCTCCCTTGTTCGCCTTAGGGTAGGGGCACAGGGTACTGCGCAGCTTGTTTTCAGCAATCATAGCGACCGGCTCTGTTACGCCTGGGTATGCTGTCCATTTGTGTTTTTTTTTCTTTTTGTTTGCCTGCCTGGTGGGGGGGGAAGGTCTGTCTTGGTTCTTGCCCCCTGTGTACTGAGTACTCTTCTGTTTCCGGTGGTACCCCCTACTTGGTCCCCGTGAGTGTACACATCCCGGGGATTCAGTTCTCAGAAGGTTTTCGATACTGTCTCGTTGTTACGGCCCTATTGGGTCACAACTGGGTTCTTTCTCTGATGTTAGTAGAGTTAGGGTATCCGGCCCCAAGCTAGTAGTGGCTTTCAAGGGGTGTGTTCCGTAACGCAAGTAAATTAAGGGGGAAGGGATACAATTACACTAAACTTAATATATTATTAAACCGCCACCATAAATAATTATATAACCAGTCACACGCGGGGTATAAACACTATAATGTACAATGAATTGTCTTCCTCTGAAGACACAGGATGCTCTGCTTAACGGTGCTCAAGACGAGTAGCCCTGGTTCTCTTCTTGTGGCCTCTCGATGAATCCTTAGATTCTCCTAGCGAGTCTACCCCGGCCACAGGCCAGCCAAATCACAGTCCCACTGGGTGCACCATCGTGGAGGCCGTCAACCACAAATCCAGCCTGTAGCTGGCAGGTTCCAATTTGCGAGACTCACGGGTTGCACAGCTTCAGCAGCAAACTCGTGGAAATTCTACGGCTGCCTTGGGTAGACTGATCCAACGTCCATTACAGCAGTCCCAGGTCGACTCTGTAATCAGACACGTCATCAGTACTAGTTACACTCTAGGGCACCTCACTTACAGGCTTAGACGCAAACGCCCACCTATCCACTCCATAGATGGCGTTGCTGTCTAATTTGACAGACAAATGTCCAGTCCAGTCTCAGAACTGAGAGGTGGATTGCCGGTGCAGGGATCTGGGGCTCCCCCTTCCCCCTGCCGGGGAGGGGGGAGCTGCACAGACAGCGGCGCGGCGGCGTGTGATGTCATACTCGTTTGCCCATTTCAGTTTGGGGAGTTCTATCCACTTGTTCGGCTTTTTGTTACAATTTTCACCAGAATAGGGGTTTGTTTTGGGATGCTTACCTTTCTGGGTGCCTAACCCGGTCAATGGCAGACATAGAATGCTTCCAACCACACAGGGGTTTCTATTGGTCATTGCTCCTCGTGCTTCTTCTGATGGGGCCAATTTCTGGCTCATGGTCTACGGTAGGCCCACAGAACTCCATACACATGACTGCCAAAGTCTGACATTAGCATATCAGCCTGGATAGCTCCAGGGAGCCTCTGGGTCTCACCCAGAAAATAGCGTTTCATTACATTCAACGCTGGTTTTTTAATTTCTGACAGAATTGCAGGTGCCTTTAATTAGGATGATTGGTTCAAATTTTAAATTTAATGTGTGGCCATCAGCATATCCTTAAACAATAGTACATTAGCCCAAAACACGGTGTTATGAAATGATAAAAACAGAAATTTGCTTTTTACTATATGATGAATTAGATACTGTAACACTACTACTGTAATATTTTATTAACGTGTTAATATAAGTGTGTCTACTAAATATTTCTTAATTATAGCTGCATTTAAAGCTCAAAACAGCTATAATTGCTCTTGTACAGCTGTACTCTAAAGGGTGTGCAGGCAACAGCCAGGAGGAAAATAATAGAGCAATGGAGGAAAAGTTGGCTAACTACAGTATTGTATAAAAAAAAAAATGCCCCATTCACTGTATCTTCCTCACTAAGTAACATCAAGTAGAATTGGCCCCATCACACTGGCAAAGCATCCACTGCAATACCCCCAACACTTCATATGACTAGGTGTGGTGTGCTTCAAATGATTTGTGATATAAAATATACATTTAACAGTTACACACACTCTCAATGTATGAATCTTCTGACCTCTTTTTCTCCTACCATTAAATTCATTTCAATAACCTCTATATAACTCTAATGATACATTTGCTTTGCATGACCTTACAATTTACAGACTTTTCTGGTGGGGATCCTCTTGGTGAATCTCTGAAGCTATATTGCTAAGGTAACTTCCCACTACTGAGTCATATTAAACATGGGCGTCATGTCTGGCCATCCAGGGACCTGAACCTTTCAGCTGGGCTGGTTGGAGTAGAGGGCACATTTAACTCTTTACCCCTGGTTCATTTCTTGCTCCAAGTGGTGTCCAGACTGGAGTCGTACTTAGGGAGGGTGATCATTCTTGTTCCTTGGTGGGCGGCTCTGCCTTTGTTTCTGCAGCTTCTGGCCCAGTGTCCAAACCTGGGTGTTTTCTGTGGCTATGCCTCTTTCAGCAGATTGGGCCTGTTAACCCTCCTCAGCTCTGTCTCTAGAGTTTTTGAATGCAAATGTTGTATACACAGACTTTGCAAAGGCATTTGACAAATGTGAAAGAGGCATTTCATTACATTTAATGCTTGGGTTTTATCGGTTTGTGGGTTGACCTCTGATACCCCAAGCTCCCTTTCCTTTTGTAGAAAGCCAGATTGTAGTTCTGGCTCCTGGTTGGCAAAGGTGGGTCTCAGAGGCCTGATGCATCTCCCAAAGTCATGATTGAACCGTGCTTAATTTGGAAGGAAGGGGGGGGGAGGAGCTAATGAAAAGGCCTAACAAGAAAAAGGGCATTACATTACATTCAGCATTTGATTTTAACTTGTTTACTTAAGTATTTAATAGAGAACCAACACCCTTAACATGATGATTTAATAGTACTATTAACTGTAACTCCAATAGGACTGGGAAACTTGTGCAACAACATCCAGGGAACATTTTATGGTTTGCCAAGCACGTGGCACTGGGCTGAAAGGCGCCGGCTAGGAACTCATCTTCTTCATAGAACACTCAACATCTTTTTGCAGGAGGGAGAACGGCAACTGAGGCCTTCAGATGTTACTCTCCCAGCTTGGATGAAATGATACTTGGACTGTACGGTATAACTTCTCCCTATGTATGATGTTCAGATTTGTGATTCACCGTATCTCAAATTTGGACAACATATATAGGGAGAGAGTAGATTTAGGATCATAACATTGAATATTCATGAAAAAACTATTGTACAATATTAATATTTATTGAAATTATTAACTATTATTAGTACAGTATATTTTATAAATAAATTTATAGAAACAAATTGGTACCCTTAGATCACCATGACTAAATGATCTTCCATGGCTGTACAGTAGAATTATATTTGACTTCAGATTATTTACACAGATTTTAATATACCAGGAACAAATTACCATTGCCGTTTTGCTGCATCGGACAAATGTATAATATATCACAACACATGTCTGCAACTAAATTAAAGGGCAGAAGCATGACCCCATGTCACGACAATGGTGTGTAAGATTTTATTGGATTTTTACAATTCTAGTTTTTATATAATTATTTTCCTTTTAGTGCAATACCTGTATTTCATATAACTGTGGAATTCAGATGTATTTGACTTTGAAATATAATTATCTAGCGCACTTTTATATTGAATAATAAACATGGTGAAAATTTATTTATTTATATAAATTTAAGTATATTTGTATAAAACTGACTTTAATATATTTCTTTAGCTTTTATTTTAAAAATAATTTAGTTAAAATTCTGAAGGTACTGGTATAACAATTTAATTAACTTCAAAGTATATGTTTTCCAAACGAAATTGATAGCATAAATAAGTTTTTCAAGTTGTGAGGTAGAGGAGTGCACAGTGAGCTGGGTAATGGCACGGTGACCAGAGTACAGGTACCGGATGTACTCCCACTTGCTCTTGCAGTAACTCACATCTCGGCCAATATGTACTCTACGTATCTTAAACAATTTTAAAATTTGAATTAGGAAATTTTACTACATCTTTGTCATGTTTCCATTATTTTATATGTAAACATTTTATGGCACCATTTTTTAGAGATTTGATTAGGGTTCAATAAATATTGTTTTAATTATGAAAACCATTAAGCCTTTTGTAATGTTTGTCAGTCATGTTGCAGTTTGAATCTTGTTCAGATTTTTTGTTAATTATTTGGATTTAACACGCGACCTTTACAGCAATAGTGATTTGGAACTCCTATGAAAAAAAACTAAATTTATCATATGTTGTTTATAAAATGTAAACTTTTCTAAAATATTAATATATTCACTATTTATAATTTTAAAACTGAATATACACATTTTATTATCCAAAATATAATTTGATTTTGCTAATTTATCATAAATATTAAGATTTGTAATTTACCTTAAATGTGTTACTGAATATAATTATGTATATATAGCATGTTTATATATTTTTTTAGTTGTTCATCTATTATGTAATTTTGCACTCAACAACATTGCTCTCAAAATTCTATTCAGGTTTTTGCAAATTGTATGAACCATCCATTTCTTGATAATTTTAACATCACAAACATGGATTGTAATCATCTTGCCACCGATTCATTATCAGCACTGTACTGCTTTGAGAGTTGCATATAAACTTCACTGAAAACTAATTGACCCTGATGTGAGCCATGGGGTATTACTAGATCAGCTCTGCATCTATTTTTTCCTCAATCATATGCACATTATCTTTTCTGAATAAGCCCCCTGGTGGCCCTCTGAAGCCATATCATTGAGATAGCTTCCCATTATGCAGTTACATCAGTCATAGGCATCCTGTTGGTCTACCAATAAAAGGAGTAGAGAGAGAGCAGAAGATTGGTATGATCACCCTCACCAGAAAAGCAACAGAAAATTAGATAAGTCATTGCAGACAAATGAATTGTTCATGAAAATGAAGCATCGATTGAGCCAACAGACACCACAAAAGACTCACTAAAAATTAAATGGTTCATTCGAAACTGGGTTTGAAACACCCACTAGTGTGGATGCGCAGAGCTACCAATATGCAGCGTTTTGGCTTCAAGCCAGCATCCACTCATTTCTGTTGTAACAGAAATGAGTTCCAGTCACTCTTCCCAATCACCTGTCATAGTGAGTCCCACTTCTCTTTGAAGATAAGTAATGGTCATCCTTTGGACTTTTTCCGGTGGGGGCCATTTGCTTGTGCGTCTGTGTTCCTATATTTGTATTTGCTCACAAGTGTGTTTGCAAGCCTTGTTGTGTGGATTTATTTTATTCTGTACTTTGAGCTGCAAATTTGTCAACCCTTCCCTAAGCATCTGTGTGGCATTGTTCCTGCACTAACAGAATTACAGTATTCAGGTGTTTTCAAGAATTTGCTCCTGAAAGGCCAAGCCACCAGGGGTACTCATACACTACCTTGCCAGGGTAGTGTATGAGTAGCGACTCCTGACTAGAGTGCAACAACCACCATGGGCATTGTTTACATGTGGTGTGAATTAGGGTATGCACAGTCATACGGCACTCTGCTGATGCCCTTTGCAGCTGTATTTATACTGTAAGTGCTGTTTGGTGTCAGTTCTTCCAAAAAGCGTCCATAGTGCCTGGGTGTCCTGCTTTGTTTCTCACCTTCATGCCTTGGTGCTCCCTTGTAGGTTTGTGGTGTGGCTCCTAATAGATTGACTTGTCTAACCCACACTCGCTATGCGCAAGTTTGAGGAATGTCATTTGGCATTGTTATATATATCCCCCAGCTGTTTATTCTACCTTGACACATTAGATTGGGCATTACCCTCTAACCCCAAGGCATGCAATGATCTGATACACCCTCTCTATATATCTTGGCTTTAGCCTCCATCACAAGCAGCTACCACATATAAAAGTCAAACCACACTATGGAAAAAAAGCAATGTAAAAGATTTAAGATTGATTATGTCAAAAGGCCTTTTAAAGAACACAAAAAAGTTGGTGTCACAACTGCAAGAAAAGTGACAGGTTGGATAAACAAGAACCTTCCAGACAAGAGATGCTCTACCAATGATACTTAGTAAAGCAGTGTTCTCTAGAGTGGAATATTGTTGCACACTAACAGCCTCATTCAAAGCTGAAAAAAATGCTGACCTGGAGAGAAGGCAATGATCTTTTACTGCTAGAATCCACACAAAACACACTTATAATGGGCGATTTTAACCACGAGACAATAGATTGAGTAAATATAACATCACAAACAGGAGATCCAATTTCTAGACCTGGTGTGGGACTCATTTCTCATACAACATATGAATGAGCCCACTCGAGGTAACAGCATTCTGGACCTAGTACTAACCTCAGAAGAGGGCATGTTCGATCAAATTCAAGTACAGTAGCAGAAAAAACTTACTCCATCGTATGATCACAATATTCTAAGATGGAATAAAATTGCATAAACTCGTTAAGGTCCAGGATGATGACCTAGATTACCATTGAGGAAAGTTTCAGGGAATGAGGGGAATTTCAAAACACCTCATGGAGGGAGCCAATAGGTGATCACGGCATGGAAACATAATGGGGAAAATTTAAAAAAGGTCATTACTGAACTTGTACAAACATGTGTGCCAAAATAGAAAAAGATAAGAAAGGGAACAAGATGGATGACACAAGTAGTAAAAAGCTAATAACTAAATGGAACATCTGGAGATGGTATAAATCAACAATGAACATCATGGATTATGATACAGTATATATAAAAAAAACATTAAACTCAGCTACCCAGGAAATCAGATTAACCAAAAGAAACTACGAAAGAAAACACCCAAAACATTAAAGAAGATCCAAAATCATTCTATGTATATATACGTAGTAAAATCCAAACAAAGGACTCTGTAGGATCCCTAAAAGATGAGACTAACCAAATTATATTGGATGATAGAAGGTCAGCAAACACTGAATGAATACTTTTACATCAGTGTTTACACTAGAAAGATTGAATGACATCCCATAACCCCCACAAATGTTTGAAGGTGGTGGTGACAAGAATGAATTATGGGATATACCCATTACATAGGACACAATCAGGAAGAGCATTGACAAACTAGAGAGACTCAAAAGCCCCAGGTGTGGATGGCGTTCAATCCAAAATCGAAAAGGGACTGGCAAATGCACTATGCATACCACTGAAACCCCTTTTCAGAAAATCCCTGGATTGGAAATATGCAAATGTTACACCCAGTTTCAAAAGGCAGAAAGAGCTCGGCAGAAAACTACCATCTGATCAGCTTGACATCCCACATCTGCAAGGTCATGGAGAGAATCCCAAGGAAGGAAATCATACATCTCGGAGAACAATCTTGTAAAATCAATACAACATAGGGTTTGTTAAAAATAGATTCTGCCTCGCTAACCTGCTCACATTTCTGGAAATAGTAACCGTCTATTCAGACACAGGACCTCCAGTAGATGTAGCTTCTCACTTTGCTAAAGTTTTTGACAAGATAAATAATGAGACTGGCAAGGAAATTATAGGCACATAGAATAAATAAGAGAATACTGGAATGGATAAAACAATGGTTAAAACATAGAAAATAAAGAGTTGTTATTTAAGATATAAATAAATAAGTGCATTTGTGAGATTACCTATTGGTGCGTCACTGTGTAGCCTGAAAGTAAGTTTCTTGTTATCTGGTGGTGTTATGTCTGTTTGCTATGAGAAAGGTAGGATAGTTGTTAGTTGTTCTGTCAGTGATTATACTGGATGCAAGGAGAGCTGTTATGTTAGTCCATAAGTGATCCAAGGTAGCAGCACTTTTTTTTTTTTTTTTGAGATATATACAAGAGTTGTTACATTCTTGTACAGCCACTAGTACGCGTAGCATTTCGGGCAAGTCCTTAATTCTATGTTAGCTCAGTCTGTTAGTGTCCGTTAGCTCAGTTGGTAGAGCGCCAGACATAGTACCGTAGATTCTATGGAGCTATCCCACTGGAGGTCACAGGTTCGAGTCCTGTACGGGCTGTCTATATTTGGAGCAGGTCGGCCGAGCGGACAGCACGCTGGACTTGCGATCCTGTGGTCCTGGGTTCGATCCCAGGCGCCAGTGAGAAACAATGGGCAGAGTTTCTTTCACCCTATGCCCCTGTTACCTAGCAGTAAATAGGTACCTGGGTATTAGTCAGCTGTCACGGGCTGCTTCCTGGGGGTGGAGGCCTGGTCAAGGACCGGGCCGCGGGGACACTAAAAAGCCCCGAAATCATCTCAAGATAACCAAGATATGTTCCCTGGAATACGATCCCCACCACGAAGAATCGTTTTTACAACCAACTACTCATTTTACTGTTGAGTTAAACAGAGGCTACAGTTAAGGATTTGCGCCCAGTAAATCCTCCCCGGCCAGGATACGAACCCATGATAAAGCGCTCGCGGAACGCCAGGCGAGTGTCTTACCACTACACCACAGAGACTGCTTTATGTTTGAGTGACTCGTTTGGGCTTGTGATTGTGGGGATTAGCATACAGGAGTTCATGCTGTTTAGGAAATAGTCGACTTAAGGGCTATTTTTTAACACAGGTCAATATTGAAGTCACCTCCTAGAATGATGTCATTTTTGTTGAGATTGTTGTTTATGATAAGATTCCTTTAGTTAGTTTAGTTTAGAATATACTGCAGCTACAGTATATTAGTATTGGGAATTCTATAGATAGCTCCAATAGTCAAGGAGGATTTAAGGGATTTAATTGAGAACTGAGCAAAGGTATTGTCACAGTAGTTATCTCTGTCGCTAATGACACTATTGCAGATGAAGGTATCTTGGTAATATATAGCTGTGCCACCTCCTTTTTTATTAGGTCTACAGTTGTGAATAGCTTTATAACCAGCTAAGTTGTAAAGTAGGGTATGGTCTTTCCTTAGCCATGTTTCTGTTAAAATAATGAACAATAGTTTAGTACAGTACTAAGTGCTGTGAGTAGTGAATTTGTATCATCAAAATGTTTACTAAGTGATTTGACATTTTGGGTGAAAACTGATAGGCAAGTGATATTTTGTAGTTTGTTGTTTGGAAGGATTGCTGTGTATTACTTGCAGTAGTGATGATCAATATGCTGGTTATTGTAGATTTGTGATAGCAGATTTAGTTCAGGATCAACATCAGCTTGCATGTAGATGCAATGGAGTCGAGATACAATAAGGTAAGCAATTACAGAACAGTAAAATACTAAATCTGCTGTAAATATAAAATAACTATAGAAAAAGAAAAAAAGAAAAAATGCAAATACACATATAAGCAAGTAAAATAAAGATCACTGTAATTAGACAAGAAGGATACAGAAGTCTAGTAAAAAAAAAACGATAAAGATTGACGAGAATAATATTCAATAAGATTATGGAATTAGAAGAAAAAAAAAATTACAAGGTTAATCTTAATTAATACTGACTAAAATAATCTTAAGGTAATATAATCTTAATGATAACTAATTAGCTTAGTTATGATTCTATAATTAACATGAACTTAAGAAAAATATGAACACAATTTATTCCAATAAATGACTAATATTAATCAAATTTACTAAAAAGTTCTAGATATAATAATAACTATAGCATGAAATGCAAAAATATTATGAACAAAAGATTTTGGAATTAATAAAGACAAAATTACCAGGTTAATCTTGATTAATTAATACTGACTAAAATAAGCATCAAGTAATGTAATCTTAATGATAATTAACTATAGATTATTTACATCTCTTGAACACTGGATAGAGCTGTGGAGCTCTCTCTAAATTCACGTAGCTTGTGATACATAGTTTTTAGTTTAGTTCGTTTATTATGCACCCCATACCCATCTTGTGGGGTAGTAGTGGGTTGCAGAGGCACATAGATGGCATAGTTCGTTTATTATGCACCCCATACCCATCTTGTGGGCGGTAGTGGGTTATAGAGGCACATAGATAGTTTAGTTCCTTTATTATCCACCCCATACCCATTTTGTGGGAGGTAGTGGGTTACAGAGACACACATAGTTTAGTTCCTTTATTATGCACCCCATACCCATCTTGTGGGCGGTAGAGGAAAGGGTTACAGAAGAACATAACGGGCTCACGGATTGAACCCCACAATTCATTGAGCTAATTAAGTTACAATACACATAAAACAAATTGCAAATCTCATACAGACAACATAATTATAGAAAACGTTAGAGAGTGGGGGAGGATAAGCGCCCCGTGGCCGCCGCCACCGCTGCTCTCTCCTCTGAGCACAGTTCCCCCTCACCACCACCACGGGCGAGGTGTTACTTCAAGGCACACTGTTATAAACACCACTCACGCCTTCCTTAACTATCAGCAGTGACGCGCCTCCTTCAACAACACTTGTGAAGTCATCACCACCACACAACAACCATTTCGCACCTTCAGCATATAGATAAGATAGTGTTTTCCAAAGGGGTGACAAGATAGAATATTGAGAAGGAAGATAAGTGTGGCGACTGGCTGACGAAGAGCAGGTGTTGACCCCCTAAGGTATCAGGGGAGTGTAGAGCAGGATGCTGAGGTGGCCGGTGGCGAGGGCAGTGCTGGGTCAGAGTGGGCCAGGCCGGGTTATTCAGGGCCTCACAGAAGCGGGTCATAGAGCACCAGGGACCACTAAATGTCTCGGCACCACCGCCCGGGTCAGCTCGGCCGGCTCACAGGTTAGTCACCACTCACCACGGCTAACTTTACTACCTCAGTTTGTGTGATACTTTACCTTAATGGGATTTTATTGTGTATTCAGTGTGTACTCGCCTAGTGGTGCCTGCGGGGGTTGAGCTCTGGCTCTTTGGTCCTGCCTCTCCAACTGTCAGTCGACTGTAATTACCTAAGTGTAATTACCTAACACTTAGGTAATTACCAGTTGATTGACGGTTGAGAAGCAGGACCAAAGAGCCAGAGCTCAACCTCTGCAAAGATAACTAGGCGATTGTTGTAGAGATTCTGTACAGTCGGATCTGGTGTACAGGTTCCTGAGCCTACTGGGCTCTATCATATCTACACTTGAAACTGTGTATGGAGTCAGCCTCCACCACATTACTGCCTAATGCATTCCATCCGTTAACTACTGATACTGAAAAAGTCCTTTCTAACGTTTCTGTGGCTCATTTGGGTTCTCGGTTTCCACCTGTGTCCTCTTGTTCGCGTACCACCAGTGTTAAACAGTTTATCTTTATCTACCCTGTCAATTACTTTGAGAATTTTATAGGTAGTGATCATGTCTCCCCTAACTCTTGTCTTCCAGTGTCGTGAGGTTTAGTTCCAGTAATCTTTCCTCGTAGCTCATTCCTCTCAGCTCGGGGACTACCCTGGTGGCATACCTTTGAGTCTTTTCTAACTTCGTTTAGTATTTAACTAGATGTGAACTCCACGCTGGAGTCGCACGTAAAGGTAAACGTGAGTTTACCTAATGTCCACTATCTCTCTGGCCTCGAGGAGGACAGGAAGCCGGTGGTTTGTCAAAGATCCAGTGGGGCACAGATCACACAGCGGCTCCCTGTGATCACAAAGATCACAGGGAGCCGGTGGCTGAGCGGACAGAACACTGGACGCGTGATCCTATGGTCCCGGGTTTCGATCCCGGGCGCTAGCGAGAAACGATGGGCAGTTTTTTTCACCCTGATGCTCCTGTTACCTAGCAGTAAATTGGTACCTGGGTGTTAGTCAGCTGTCACGGGCTGCTTCCTGGGGGTGAAGGCCTGGTCGAGAACCGAGCCGCGGGGACACTAAAACCCCGAAATCATCTCAAGATAACCTCAAGATAAGATCCCTCATTTGTCCTGATGATTTTGTCGAGCTGGATTTTGAAGGTCAGTGTCTTGGCATTTATGACTTTAGTGAGTAAGCAGTTCCATGGGTTTATAAACCTCTGGGTGAAAAAGCTCCTGTTTTCTGCCCTGTAATGCTGTATTCACCATTTTGTAGTGATGTCACTATTAGTTTTCCACTTGCCTCAAGAATATTCCATTTACCATTAAGCAGTGTTTATCATCATATGTTGATTCATGAAGTAATGCAGTTATTGTTACATGATGATTTAAATCATTATTGTCTGGGTTTTACATGTATGGTGCAAATAAGGATATAATAGGTCTATATTCATGTAATGGAGTTTACCTTGATCCTTGACAAACATCCTGCTCTCATTAGTTACTAATAAATGCTGTTACTCATTAGTTACTAGGTGCATGTGGTTATCATATGATGATTATTTACCTGAATTTACCTGAGAGCCACTAACACTAGTGGGTTCAACAAGGACAGGAAGCTGGCAGCTTGTCGAAAGTCCCTCCCATTTGCCTTGATCTTTTCCAGCTGTACTTTAAAGGTTAATAGCGTTTTGGCATTTACGGCTTCAGAGGGTAGTTGGTTCCATAAGTTTATAACCCTGTGGGTGAAAAAGCATCTGTTCATCTCCTGGATTGCAGTGTTGTTTGCCTTGTGGTCCTGAACCTTTCTTGATACGTGAGTTGACTTAGCTCTGGGATAATTTTTGTTGCCCGATATTGTACTTTCTCCAGAGCAGCTATGTCCTTCTGAAGATGAGGTCTCTTGGATACAATAATCCAAATGGGGGCAAACCAGAGATTTATACAATTGAATCACTGCCCTCTTTTCCTTTATAGTAAACAGCATGCTTGATTATTCGGAGTGTTTGGTTGGTGTTACAATGCTCGAATACATTGGCTCGTGGATAAATGAGTAGCCCTTAAAATGCCCCAGAACTCCAGTGTACAAGGATACTGACTGGGAGGGAAATGAAATACTTACACAGCTATTGACCAATAATATATTATAGGCACATTTGTCCAAGGCTTTTGCAAAATCTGTGTAAATTACATCAAAGTTTTGTTTGTCTTCTTCCATGGCATCTAATGCCATGTCATAGTAGTCCAGCAACTGTGATTGGCAAGAGTGTTCTGAAACCATGTTGTTTACAGTTCTTTATGAATATTTGATTGAATATTTGAAATATTTGAATATCTTTATGATTATGCCCGAAACGCTTTGCGTAATAGTGGCTTTAGGCATTGTATGTACTAGCTATACCTATAAGTTAAACAATCCTTGTAAATATTTATTGTATGTATGTACCTTACCTAAATAAAATTGTATTGTATTATTGTGTAATATAGAGTTCCAAGAATCGGGGCCTGATGCAGAGTGCATAGGCATACTGTAGGCACACCCTTGACTTCCCTGGCAATTTAACATAATTTACAAACGTATTTATGTAATATTTATGATATATATATTCATATAACTATGGTATCTACCATCTGGAAGATTATTTGTAAAATTAATGACTGAGGGGAGGCCTGGTCAGAGACCGGGCTGCAGGGCCATTGATTCCCGGAACCTCCACAAGCTACCTTACCTTACCTTGAGGTTACCTTGAGGTGCTTCCGGGGCTTAGCGTCCCCACGGCCCGGTCGTTGACCAGGCCTCCTGGTTGCCGGACTGATCAACCAAGCTGTTGGACGCGGCTGCTCGCAGCCTGACGTATGAGTCACAGCCTGGTTGATCAGGTATCCTTTGGAGGTGCTTATCCAGTTCTCTCTTGAACACTGTGAGGGGTCGGCCAGTTATGCCCCTTATGTGTAGTGGAAGCTAGACACAGTAGACATTACTGTTCAAGAACTGAACCTTGAGGTACTTTACTAGGGACATTTCTCCAGTCAGATACATTTCCTCTGTTCACTGCTTGCATTTGTCTGTTCAAAAATTTGTCATCCAATTTAGGAGTTTGCTTATCACTGCCTCAATCAGCTGGCTTCCAGGTTTAGCCCTCCTTTCCCATCCCTCCTGTCTTCCACATAGTCTTTTGCTCAGTAGGTGGTCTTCTCTTAGGGATATCTCTTCCTTTGGCATTTTGTGGGGTGCTGACCCCACAAAGCCGGTCGGCCGAGCGGACAGCACGCTGTACTTGTGATCCTGTAGTCCCGGGGTCGATCCCGGGCGCCGGCGAGAAACAATGGGCAGAGTTTCTTTCACCCTATGCCCCTGTTACCTAGCAGTAAAATAGGTACCTGGGTGTTAGTCAGCTGTCACGGGCTGCTTCCTGGGGGGGGTGGAGGCCTGGTTGAGGACCGGGTCTGCGGGGACACTAAAAAGGCCCTGAAATCATCTCAAGATAACCTCAAGATAACCCTCGGGTGTGCAGACTTGAATGGGCTCTGTCTTTTCCCATGGCTATATATTTGTTTCTAGCCACATTTTGTTTCAGTAATGCTGCCCATCTTTACTGAAAGGCTGTTGTGAGGTAGCTTCAGGGAGCTACTGAGTGCTTCCCTCACAGACGTCAAGTAATGAATGTAATAAAAGGCCCTTTTCTGGTCAGGCTGCTCAATAGCTTCCCATCACTAGCCTGATCTTTTCTTCCCTGTGGGTTGAGGGTATTTTTGAGGACAGCTGATGAGTGGCGCTCTGAGATAGCACTGGCCTTTGGGTAACCTGGGCTGCCAATTGGTGACAGGTAAGTGCAACAGGATCAGTATGTTTTCATCAGGGTTCTGCCAGGTTACCTTTTCACCTCCTAGTTCTTATTTTCATTTTGCAATTGCTTATTTTGTTGAGCCTGTGCTTTCTGGTGGAGTTTTCATTTGATTTTGAGAGATTCATGTAATTTTCTGTTTTTATAATCAGTTGGCTCATTCTCAGGTGCAAGAATTGAAGGATGAGGGTCACACACAACCCGCCACCGCCAAGAAGCCTAGTCGTCCACCTTTTATCAAGAATCTTTTCTTGGGAAGGTAAGAATGAAAGTTCTGTTAAGTTGGTTTCCTCATGGCAACTAGATATTTAAGGTAATGAAAGTGATCTTGGCCTTTCATACAGAATGTCTGACTTCCATTATACTCCCAGATTATTTGAGAGGGTAAATGAATACTAAGGTCCACACTACTTGATTATATGGCCAAAAGCTCTTTCAATTATTGAATTTGATTTATCCACTGATGTCATTTAGCTACAGTACTCTCCAATCAGTAATTTCTGGAAAGGCTTTGAGGTGGCTCCCTGTTGCTAGCCTGGTTAGCTTAACTCAATTTGAATCAAACCAGACCCTTGCACTTCATTGAAAGTCTACCAGAGATCAGAGGCCAAAAACCGTTCCCCTCACAGGTGCAGAGAGCAGGGGGATGCTAGATAACCCTAACCGAGAAGTAAACTGCTGAAATGTAAAGCGAAACAAAATAGAAAATAGCAAAGCAAATTTAAGCAACTCTGAAAACTAACCACCTAGTAATTTGTCATTCATCATCTAGTAGCAGTCACCAAACACCAGTTGACAGCACTGGGAGCTCACGGATCAGCTGGTATAGGTACTTAGTCATTTCCTTGGTACAGCAACAAAAGGTTGCTCCTGCTCCTCAAATCACTTAACCCTTCAACAGCGCAATACATACATATACGATTTGACATAAAATAATTTAACATAAGTTTTTAAAACTTGCACAAACACTTTCCAGTTTTTTTTTGCATAATCAACTAGGCAAATGATCCAACTTTGTCTAAATGATCACAACGTAACTTGAAAAACAAGTGAATCAAAATTAATTTTAAATTTGAATATTGAAAACTTCAGATTTTCAGTTCAGAATAAAAAATATGAACTATCACCAATTGTTCATTTAATGTTATTATTCTCTGAGAATAGCATATGATATTCATTTTCATCATATTGGAATATAGGTTTTCAGTATAGTTTACCATAAAAAAAATTGGCAATAAGGCATTTGAAATATGCGGCAAATTTAGACCCCAAAAAATTATAACTCGAAATGTATAAAGTTTATGAAAAATCCGTTCTGTAGGGATTGTAGAACAGACAGCTGGGCACACAATATGTCATATAGGATTAGTATAGAACTTCTTGGAATGTGGAGTTCTTAGGGATAGGTTATGTGAAATTAACAGGCATCTAATTGCCTGCACTGAAACTTATGACAAATTGGAGCTAGTATATTACTCTTAATATACTGTAGTTGCTATAACATACCATAGAACTGAGGGTGGAGATGCAGGCCAATTGGGATCTGCCTCTTCTCTCTCTCGAAACTATTGGGGAAGGTGGGGTGAACAAGCTTGTGCTAGTTTCATGAAATTGATATACTAGTACTGTATTATTTGGGCAGTTCTCAAGACTGCAGTCTCTATTGAAGACAGCAGTGGTTTGTTTTATCTTGCTGATTTTCTGGTTACCTTTCCCTGTATTGGCATAAATGAATGTCATTGCTCCCTTTGCCTCTGTGAGGGGGGCCAGGTTCTGGCACTGGTTCCCTGGTAGGCCAATAGAACTCTGGCTGTAGCGGATGTGACCTAGTAGATGGCACACTATCAGTGATAGTAGCTTCAGGAGCCACCGGATCTCCTAAAAATTGGTGTTTCTTTACATTCAATGCCATTTTTTCTTCGGTTTTCTTATTAAAAAGTTTTTATTTTATTTACTCCATAGGTTTGATAAGGAGATGTTGGTATTCCCAGAAGTACTGGATAAGGAACAGCATGAACTGTTGCATGAGATGATTGTTCCTATTGAACGATTCTTTATAGAGCAAGGTAAGTGTGATCCTTATTGTGACTGACTCCATGCTGTGATTGTTATAAAATATCTGAAGCTTTTCAGAGCCCTCTATCTTTTATTTGCCAATGTGCATTTTGGCTTGTTTTATATAGCATGCACTTTATATTTAACTTCACCTACACTTCATAGTACAGTATATTAATGTTCTCATTACCGAAACTCTATATTATTGTCTTGTGTCAAATACATATACAGTACATTGTATGGAGCAGTTAATGTTAGACAACACCTAGTGTATGCAGCAAGAAGGATGTTTATAGTTGGGCTCTAGTTTAATCTGCTGAGATGCAGTCTTTGATATTAAAATTTATTGAATAACCTCTCTTGATCCTCTTTTTTTAGACCTATTTTGAGTATTGATTTTAGTTTGCACCTAAATAAGTTTATGACCTGAGTATGTGGTATCTGAGATTGTAATGTTCCTGATTATTTCTTCATTTTTTGTGAAGAAATATAAAAAAATTATATCTAAATTATACAAACCACTGCTAGTGTTCAAATTACATGACTTTGTAATCTGTATTAAAGCAGATTCAATTACAGTATGTTCCTATTGAAAATGCTTTTACAATTCGTTATTAAAGAAGCCCTCTCCCAAACAAATTGGTGAGAACTTTCTGACAAATGAACGAACAAAGCATTAGATAATTAGCCATGTCTTACCAAGCGGGTTTTTGTGGCCCTTGTTTGGCCTTGGATCGGAAGCGGTGTTTTTACTGGTTGGGGTATCAAGGTGTTGTGCAGCTTGCCTACCTACAGCAGTGGCCGGTTACTGTTTTTCCTGGTGACGTTGTACTTTGTGGGGTTTTTCTTTTACTTTTTGTTTTGTGAGTCTGGTGGGGGTCTGCCTGCAGTGGTTATAGGTTCACTTATGATATTTTGGTGGCCCTCTGCTAGGCCCCTGTGATTGTACACGTCGCAGAGTTTTCAGTGTTGTGATCATCCCCCTTGTTGGCTTTGGGTCTAACCGGTTAGCAACCTTGGGCTTCCCGTAACAGTCAGCCTACGGGCCCTGGAAAACCCTGTCGGGGCTCGGTGAACCTATGGATGCGTCTTCCGAGTTCCAGCCTACCTCGTGCGGGTTTGAAGGTTGCTATGTGCCCCTGTTTCAGGGGGACAGTCAACACTTTTGCCTCAGTCATGCTGCCTGTTGGATCAACGACACCTTTGACCCAGTCTTGCGAGTCGTGTTCCCTGCTTGTTCTCTAGTACTATTCTGATGGCATTACTGTTAGGGTAGAGGCAGTATCCGTGTTGCATGCTTGGTTTAGGTTACTGCAACGCACTAGGTTGGTTGCCTAGGTTGGGACGGAGGCATTGGAGCCGGTTCCTCCTGCCGAGGCTTCTGTGTCCTACCAGCAGGCCCTCTTCTTTTCCACCTTTCCCCTGGACTCTGCCTTTTCTTCACGGGTAGAGGGTATTGAGGACTGCTGTGCCTCGGGTCCCAAGATGGGGGATGAGCTGGGGAGGACTTGACCTGGGGGCTTGGGCCCCCTTTTGACCCCACTTAAGTGCTTGTTCCCTCTTTGCAGGAGCTTGTTGATGCAGGGGTAGGGGTTTTCTAAGTATCATTTGGGGTCGGCTCTTACCCGTTCCTCAGCTCCTTCTTTCCGGAGGTTTTCTGCTTCTCGGATCTCCCCGTCAGAGGTTCGGGAGGCAATTGCTGCGCTCCTCCTGCGAGGCCCAGATTCTGCCTCTGTGATGGATTTGTCATCATTTAAATTTGGTTCTTCTTCACCGTATTGAGTGTTTGGGGGTTTCGGAGTCTTCTTGGCTGGCACACTGCCTGTTCTTTTCGTTGGGGCGTGGCATGGGTTCTATCGGATACACACACTCAAGTGGCCAGAAACTTCTACCATTCTGCAGGTTTACCTGGGGGGGGGGGGCGAGTTTGAGAGCCTTAATGCATGCTTGTTCACCCCTGTGCTTCCTCGGGATGTTGGCCTTGTACCGCTGCATGTGCAGGTTCCTACCTTTTCGGCTTCTTTGGTTGCTGAGGATTTGCACACCCGTGGGCATTTGGCTTCGGTCTTGCGCTTCTTTTTCCTTCTTGAGCTGTCTTCGACCTGGCTTGAGGAAGATGTGGAGGCGTTGATTGCCGAGCCTTCGTCTGGTGCGCTGGCCTCGGCGACCACACTATTGAAGTTGTTTACGCCGAACTCAAGGAGGCAGCGTCTTTGCTCTTTGCTTCTCCCCCTGCGTGTCAACAGGCTGTGCTCGCTATCTTTAGAATCCGCCTGGGTCCTGGCTCTTAAGTTTTCTTCCCTGTTTTGTCTGTTGCTGTTTGCAGTCTGCGAACAGACTGTTTCTGCATGCGGATTCGTCTAGTTATCGTCCCATGTCAGACTTGTTGGTTCTCCGGGATGGCAGTTCTCGACCTTCTCAGAAGAGTCGTGCCAGGGCTTGGGGTTCCTCTGGTCGAGGTGGGCCTTTGGTGCCAGCTTCTGAGCCAACGTTGCCTTTGGACCCGGCGTCATTTGGTCTGCACAATGATTGCTCTGCTTTTCTGCTGGCTTCTCGTAAGTGGTGTCGGCCCTCTCACCATTCACCCCGTTTATGGGGCAATGGGGGTGGGGGGCGGCTCGCTCTGCTTGCGCCTGGTCCCACAAATTGTGGGCGCTTTGGGTAGTCTCCACTGACCTGTGGTGGTGTTGGGCAGCTCCTTTTTCTTTGGGGGGTTCGGGGCTGGCGGGGCAGGCTTCTTTCCCTGTGCTCTGTCGGGTCATCTTGGAGTGGGTACACTTGGGTGTGGTCGAACGACCCCGTCCCTCAGGTAGGTTTCCCGTCTCTTTCCAGTGCTGAAACGGGAGTGTGTGGATCTGCGGGTCATTCTGGACTTGACCCGTCGGCACCCCTGGATTCCATTCCCCTTCTTTTGGATGACCATTCTGTCTCAGGTCCAGCTGCTGTTGGAGCAGGGGGCCTGGATGGTGTCCCTGGATCTCAAAGAAGCGTATTTGGCATGTTCGTATTCACTTGGGGTTCAGGGACTGGTTAGGTTTCATGGTGGGGCATCGGGCTTACCGCTTTTGTTGCCTTTCTTTTGGCTTGAATCTGGCACCTTGCTTGTTCACGCGTCTTACCCGAATCATGGTGACCCATCTGCTTCTGCTAAGGGTTCAGGTTCTGGCCTACCTCAGCGACTGGTTGGTGTGGGCTCCCAAACGGTCTGCTTGTCTGCTCGCCAGGGGTGTGGTTCTTAGCCAGCTCATTGGGTTTGGGTTCCTGGTGATTTGGAGGAAGCCCCATCTGGTTCCATCCTAGGTTCAGACCTGGCTGGGCTTTGTGTGAGACTCTTGGACTGCTACCTTGTCTCTCCCTCCAGAGGTGTTGCTCCAGTTGCGGTCCTGAATTCAGCTGTTTCTGGTGGTTCCTGGGTCACTCTGCGGTTGCTCGAGCAGTTGTTGCGAGGAGTCTGAACTTCATTGGGCTGGTTTACCAGCTGGGTTGGGTTTGGCTTCGGCGTCTGTTCTGGTTCCTTTTTGGACGCTTCTTCCGCCTCTCCTGCGATTGCTGGGTTTGGCTTCTGTGGGCCTTGCGTCGCCAGCTTCTTCTTCTGGTTTTTTGGGGTTCAGAGCCTTAGCGCCTACCCAAACCCTCGCTCGATGTGTTTATAGACACGTCGTCTCTTGGCTGGGGCTTTGTGACCAGTGCTCACCAGGCTGGCCAGGGGGGTGGTGGGGTCCATCCTTCTGTCGGGCTCACAGCACAGTGCGGGAGTTCGTGGCAGTTTGGCTGTCTTTTCTGTGGTTTTGGGTCGCTTGTGGTTCCATGATCCGGCTTCATTCGAACTGCTCTCCAGAGGTTCATTATCTGAACCAATGTCGGTTCTCTTTGGTCCTTGGCTCTTTGGGGCTAGTTGCTTCAAGTGACTCATCTGCTGGATTCTCGGCGTTTGACTCTCCATGCGGTTCATATCCGGGGAGTGTCCAACGTCCTGGTGGATGGTCTGTCTCGGTTCATTCCCCTGTCTATGGATTGGACAGTCGACGTTGACTCCTTCAGTTGGCTCTGTCGGACGTATGGGCTCCTGGAGGTAGACCTTTTTGCGTCAGTGTAGTCTCGGCGTCTCCTGATATACGTGGTGCCCTTCCCTGACTGCGGAGCAGTCGCGGTGGACACCTTTCGGCAGGACTGGTCGAGATGGTTGCCTGTACCTCTTTCCCCCAGTCTAGCTGTTGCTTTGGGTCCTGGCTCAGTTGGAGACTTGCCAGGGCAGAGTTGTCCTGTTGGCCCCCTTGGTGGCTGGCCCAGCCGTGGTTTCAGGTGCTGCTTGCTTGGTGTCTGAACCCGAGGTGTTTTCTGCAGCTCCGCCTCTTTCAGATCAGACCGGTCCGGTACAGGACTGGTTCGGTCTAAAGCACTCCTCTGTTCATCACATCTGGTCTTTTTGATGCGAGTGTATCACTTGTTTGGTGATCAGGTGGCTTCCTTGATGGCGTCCCACCTGTGAGCTTAATCTCGGCAACAGTATGAAATCTCCTGGCGATCTTTTCACCATTTTCTGTCTCTTCGTAGGTTATCTTTTTTTATCTCTGAGTTGTTTTGTCCTTTCTCTTGGCATTATTGTGCGGCGCTGGCGGCGTCTCTTCAGTTTGCATTTGGGGTGGATGTTATTTGCTTCCATTTTGCAAGCTTTCTCGTGCTTTGTTTCATCTCTGGCCTGCTCATGTGCTGCCTGGTCCTTGGACAGGGTGCTCTCTTTTCTTTCCTGGGTTTGTGGTGTGCCCATTTGGTTCAAGATTGTTTTTCCAAGGCTTTGTTTCTGTTGGCATTGGCCTCTGGGGATCGGGTTGGCAAGCTTCATGCTCTCCTCCGGCGCTGGGGTATCTGCGCCTTCGGTCTTGGTGGTGGGTTTGTTCGGTTGCAGCCGTCTCCTTCTTTTCTGGCTAAGAACGAGACGGCGGCTTTCCAGAGGGGGCCATTGGGTCATTGATGCTTGGTTTGTCAGGCCGGGGTGCATCATGTGCTGTGTCTGGTTGCAGCTCTTCGCCGTTATCTGCACACCTTGGCCTCAGTGGCCTGGGACGCGTTTTGGGTTCATCCGGTTTCCCTTGTTCCCTGTTGCAAGGCTTGGGTCTCCCAGGTCATCCACAGTGTTATTAAGTCTAGCCAGCCTGCGGTCTTTCCTCATGCCCATGACGTTCGTAAGTTTGCTGCTTTGGCTGCCGTCTTTGGCTGATATTCAAGGGTGGGGATTTTGGAGGTTGAGCAAGTTCCTGGACATTCGTGTGTGACTTTGGGTCACATGTTGCAGCCTGTTGTCTCGACTTTGAGTTGAGTAGAACATGGCGGCCGCCTCCTAAGTAAGATCCTCTTTTACTTATCTTTGGTCATGTAGCTCCAGGGACCCAGAAAAGGGCATTTCATTACATTCAATGCTGTTTTTTGTGTTTTGGTTTTACCTTAGACTGTATTACTTTATTTTGGATTTATTTTTTCTCATTTTGATTTTCTTTCTTTCCTCTTGTCTATTTTGATTTTCCCTATCTTTAAAAAAAAATTTCCTTTGGTTTGTGATCTTCGATCCACTGCTCCTTATGCATCTGCGGGAAGACCAGGTTTCAGACTTATGATCTCTGGTGGGCTTTAAGATTTGAAGGGCTTTGTGTAAATCAATATGGCGACAGCTGTCATACATCAAAAAGTGAAGAAACGGCGTTGTTTCAATCTGTCCTGGACCATTATCATGTCATGTAACAGAAGAAAGAAAGGTACAGCAAATATATAAGGTAAGAGAGTGAGAGGAGAGGTAAGAATAGGATTAATGTGAGAATAAGAGGTAGGTAAGAATAAGAAAATGGGTAGGCATCATGTTTGTTAAGAAGGTTAGAGCATTTAAGTATGTATACTTAATGCTTAAATGCTCTTACCTACTTAACAACTGTGATCTGACTTAAGCTTTGCCCTTTTGTTATTCTTACCTTAACTATTATTCTCTCGTTCATCCTATTCTTACTTTATTCTTACATTTGTCCTGTTCTTACCTTATCCTTACCTTTCTCTAACCTGCTCCTCACCTCTCTTCTCTCTTATCTTCATATATTTGCCTGTACCTTCCTCTCTTTATGGGCTATTCATGCCCATGCCATCTCTTGGGTAGCTTAATCTTCATAAATCAATCAATCTCTCTTCTGTTACATGACTTGACAGGACAGGACTGAAGTATGGTCATTTCTTCAATTTCTGATGTGTAGTTTGATCTTTAGCCAAGTTATTGTGACTCATCGTCTACACTGAACACCATGCCTAATTTTTCACAGATCAAAATTTTTTATACAAATTTCAACCCCTTCTCGCACTTGCTTACAGTCAATATTGGCTTATTTAATAAGTGCATATGTGACATACTAATTGATTGTGAATATTTTAGTTGACCTTGAAAAGCTTCATAGAAAACACCGACCTCACCTAACCTTCTTAGTATGTTAAGATAAGCATCTTATTGCTTCTTATTTACAATTATTACTTAACCTATCAACGGTATAGGTTAAGTAATAATTGTAATTAAGAAGCAATAAGATGCTTATCTTAACATACTAAGAAGGTTAGGTGAGGTCGGTGTTTTCTATGAAGCTTTTCAAGGTCAACTAAAATATTCACAATCAATTAGTATGTCACATATGCACTTATTAAATAAGCCAATATTGACTGAAGCAAGTGCGAGAACGGGTTGACAAATTTAGTCCAAAATAAGGATACTTAAGTACTTAGTGCCATATATATATAAATCTTATTTTGTGGAAAATTTACTTTTAGTTAACATTTTACCTTTTTTTAGTGGATGGAGTCAAGATTGATAAGGAAGCAAAGATCCCACCTGAAACACTCCAAGGACTCAAAGAATTAGGGTTATATGGTCAACAGATTCCAGAGGAATTTGGTGGACTTGGGCTGGGTGCCACAGAATATGCACGCATTGCTGAAATCACTGCTTTAGATGGGTCTATTGGTGTTACTCTTGCTGCTCACCAGGCCATCGGATTGAAGGTACCTTACTCTACTGTAAAGGATCACATTAACGTTGTCCATAAAGAATCTTCCCCAGATATTCATCAGAATGTGTAATATTATTATTATTATTTAAGTTTGGAAAATATATATTAAAAAGGTTAACCCTCAAGTGCAGCTATTGGCAAAATTGTCTTGCATGTTTATAAAGTCCTTATTTTTATGTATTTCTCATGGAATGGTAGATTAGTATTACAAAGTACTGTATGGAAAAAGACACAAAAAACATATCACCCTGATTTTGACCAGGGTGGCAGTCAACATTCATTCTTGCATTCATCGGCATTACATTGTGATGGGAGTCAGGCTAAAAAACTCGGTGTCGAATGTAATGAAACGCCTCTCTCTTGTTGAGCCTCTGTGACTCTCGGAAAATACCTTGCTGAGATTGCTGCTATCTACTAGGTCCCATCAGTTGTGGAGTTCTGATTGACCTATCAGGGGCCAGAGCCAGAACTTGGACCCTCTCAGAGGCAGAGAGAGCTAGTGACAATCCACCACCCCACTGGGAAAACATCCAGAAAGTCATTGAAGCATTACAGACCACTGTCGGATTCACAGAAACCAAGGCCTCAAACTGCCAAGCTCCCCAAAATAATGTAAATAAATGATCGAATCTTGCAAAACAAGTTCAACCCGTTAGTACCAACTCGCCTCCACCAGGGAGCCCAGAGCCCCAGCCCCTCACCAACCCTCTCAAGTTAGTTCTGGAGCAGATGAAAGCCAAGCAGGCTTGATGTGAAAATGAATGAGCCAACTTAAGGAACGGCTCCAAATGTAAAATCGACGTTGAGCATAAATAACAGCTGATCTGCCAATGCCGAACGATAGGTGGGGGGCCAACAGTATTGAAGTATGAGATGCCAAACAAACAACCACAACAAAAAGGAAAACACAACTTGAATAGCGACTAAAGAAAAAAGACGGAGGGACAGAATGTGGTGAAACAAGCACCAAACAACTTCATACCTGTGTGCCATACAAATGACAATAGAGAGGCATAAAAAAGTCCAGACACAAAGACTCAAGAAGTTTGAACCAGCAAGATATGTCACTGAACCACTGCTGAAAGAAGAGGAGCCATGGAAAAATTACCTTGTTTGGACACCAGGTAAGAAGACCTGGGAACCAAGGCTGAGCCAGCCACCAAGGACTCGGAAGGACCACCCTCCTCAAGTACAACTCCAGTCTTTGAAAAACCTGGAGTAACTACTGAACTGGGGGAATGAGGTAAATGAACCCACCATCTCGGCCAGTCCACTCAAAAGGCATCCACTCGACACCTTCACGATTGAAGAATGGAGTCACATGGAAAGGATGGCGCAGGTTTTATGCCAACACAGAGACGTCCATCTTAGGGCTCCCAAACGTCTCTCAAAGTCAACGGAAGGACACATCAATGGTCCACTCTGTAGAAATAGAACGGAGTTGAGACAACTCATCCGTGAGAATGTCGAACACTCCCCAAATGTCAATGGTGCAGAGAATCAAACTCCGAGAATCCAAAAGCTGAGCTACATATAGCCTCCTGCTCCAAAGGGGAAAAGACTGATACGACCCCATTCCTTGGTTCAGGCGATGAATTATTGGAGCAGTCGGAATGAAGCTGTAGCATGGAGCTTGGAGAAAGCCGAATCCTCCTCGGAGAATGTCATTCTGCCACAAGCTCGTGTACCATAGTGTGTGCCTGAAGGAATGGACCTGACCAACAACTTCAGGGGGTTTGGTGAGCGCTGGTCACAAAGCCCCATCTCAGAGGCCTATAGGAACATGGCCTATGTTTCTAGAACGGAGTCAACCGTTCGACTCCAGTTATATGGGGGCCTATAGAAACTCCCATATACATGGGGGGCCTATAGAAACCCCCCATGTGGTTGGGGGCAGTCTGCCATCGACTGGGGTTGGCACCCAGAAAGGTTGACATGACAAAACAAACCCTGCTTGGTAAGAAAATGAGACCGAAAACCGAGCAGGGAGGCAGAACTCGCTCTATAACTAAAGAAACAAGCAAACATCACATCTCACTGTTGCACTGCCTGTCAGTAAAGCTCCGTCGGGAGGTCGGATCCCCCGTGCCAACTACCCAAGCCATCCGGTTTGTTGGCTCATGTGGTCCGGGGTGGACGTTGACTCCGGCCTCAGATTTCAGTACAATTGTGTGCCTTCGTGGTGTGTTTCTGCTGTGTGTGAGGCGCGGTGGCCAGGTGTACTTTGAATGGTACTGGGGCTGCATGGGCTCAGGGTTCTTAGCTGGGCTCCCTGTAAGTACTACCCTTGGGTTCTAGGGTTATCTTCCATAGAACTTTTGGTAACCGCTTCCGTAGGGGGGGTTCTTTGCTGCTTGGCTCTTACCCTGTCCTTGGTGCCAGCTGGGATTTTTGTGGCCTTGGGGAGAAAGTGGTATCGTTTGCTGGTAGGGGTGCGAGGTACAGCGCAGCTCGCCTACCAATATGGTGGCTGGTTTCTGTTCCTCTGGGGACATTGTACTTTTCCGGGGTTTTTCTTTTTTGCTTTCCTACCTGGAGGGGGTCTGCCTGGTTTGGCTATTGGTCCACTTTTGTTGTTTGAGTGGCCCTCCTCTAGGCTTCCATGATTGTACACATCGCAGGGATTTAGCTTTAGCAGATTTCCTTGATAATTTGGGCCCAGCTGGTTTTGCTGTACCTTGCCTGGGGCTTTCCATAGCAGCCAGCCTGTGGGCCCTGGAAAACCCCTGTGGGACTCATTAAATCTATGGATGCATCTTCTGGGTTCTACCTCGTCCCGTGCTAGTTTGATGGTTGCTGTGAACCCTTCTCTCAGAGTGAGTCACCATTTTTTGCCTCCGTCATGCTGCCTGTTGGATCACCGACACCTTTGACCCGGAGTCTTGCGAGTTGTGCTTTCTACTAGTTCTCCAATATACCCATTCTGATGGTACTGGTATTCGGGTACAGGCAGCATGCATGTTGCATGCTAGGTTTAGGTTACTGCAACATGCTAGGTTTGTTGCTCACCTGCTTATTCGTTATTCTTTGGGTTATAGGGATCCAGACTTTAGGGCGTTAGTCGCTTCGACTTTGGTTTCGTTTGCGCTCCATAGTCCTTCCCCGTTTGGTGTTCGTCCTGCTCCCAACTCCCAAACGTCTGAGGGCTTTGGAGTTAGGACTGGGTTTAGAATATTTGTGAGACTGGGTGGCTTCGGGGGATGCTGCATCCGGGTTGGCGACGGAGGCATTCGAGCCCTGATCCTCCTGCCGAGGCTTCAAGGTCTTGCCAGCGGATCCTCTTCTCATCCTTTCCTCTGGACTCAGCCTTTTCTTCAGGGGCTGAGGGTGTGGAGGATGACTCTGCCCTGGATCCTAGTGTGGAAGATTCTGGGGCTAGGGAGGAGTTGACTTGGGGGGGGGGCCTGGGCCCTGTTTGACCCCGCTTGGGTGTTGGTACCCTTGTCGCAGGGCTTGTTGTTTGGGGGCAGTTTGTTCGGATGCAGCTTTCTCCTTCTTTTCTGGCGAAGAACGATACGGCTGCTTCCCGGAGGGGTCCTTGAGTCGTTGATGCTTGGTTGGTTAGGCCGGGGTTCTGCATCATGTGTTGTGTCTGGTTGCAGCTCTTCGCCGTTACTTGCATGCCTCGGCTTCTGTGGCAGGGGACGGACGCGTTTTGGATTGATCCGGTTTCCCTCGTTCCCTGTTCCAGGCTCGGGTCTACCAGGTCATCCGTAGGGTTATTAAATCTAGCCAGCTTGCGGACTATCCTCGTGCCCATGGCGTTCGGAAGTTTGCTGCTTTGGCTGCTGTGTTCGGCAACATGTCTTGGGCTGATATTTGGTCATGGGGATTTTGGAGGTCAAACAGGGTTCTGACTGCCCATTAATTGGTCAGCATTCCTGGTCCTGGGCGATCGTGTGTGGCTTTGGGGTGCAGATTGCAGCCAGTTATCTCGCCTTTGAGTTTAGGAGCATGTTGCGGCTGCCTTCCCTGGTAAGTCCCTCTATTCCTTGTCTTTGGCTCCCTGGAGCTACATAACCAAACGGGCTTCCCACAAATAAACCAGCGTTGAATGTAATGAAACGCCATTTTCTGGGCGAGCCCTGGAAGCTGTTTGGCACCCTCCCTCCCTCCGTTCGGTGATTTTTGCATTGTTTAGATGCTTAGCCATCGAGCTGGAGTGCTGGGTGGCCGGCACGGGGGGGGGGGTCCAGGGCTCCCCCCTTTCCCCTCCCAGGTAGGGCAGGTTGTGATGTTTGCTTGTTTCCTTGGGAATTGAGGGAGTTCTGCCTGTTCGTTTTCGGTTCCAATTTTCTTACCATGTGGAGTCTGTTTTGTTATGTTATGCCTACCTTTCTGGGTGCTTAACCCTGGTCGATGGCAAATGAGGAAAACCCCCAACCACGGGGGGTTTTCAGGGGGCCATTGCTCCCTGTGCCTCTCTGAGGGGGGGGGCCAGGTTCTTGCTCATGTTTCCCGGTAGACTGAACTCCATTGACTAATGCCCCTGGTCTAATGTATCACTCTAGGAAGCCTCTGGAGCTCACCCAGAAAAAGGTGTTTCATTACATTCAATGCCATTTTTTCTTTTTCCCCCCTAGGGCATACTGATCACAGGAACAAGAGAACAAAAAGAGAAATACTTGCCTCGCTTGGCATCTGGTGAGTGGACAGCAGCTTTCTGCCTTACCGAACCCAGCAGTGGGTCTGATGCTGCTTCTATCCAGACCAAAGCTAAGCTTTCAGAAGATGGGAAAACCTGGCTGCTGAATGGGAGCAAGATCTGGATATCTAATGGTGGCTCTGCAGATTTGATGACAGTCTTTGCTAAAACTCCAGTAAGTATTTCTTTAAAAATGAAAATGAAAATGGCTTAACTGAAATATTACTGTATATATTTTGTTTAGTTAAATTATTGTACACCCCCATACCCATCCTTTGGGTGCTAGTGGAAAAGGTTACAGAGGTACATAATTGGACTTGAGGACTGAACCCCAAAATTCATTTAGCTTAGTCATGATAAACATATTCATAAATTCCTGAGCAATAGCATAAATTTTTGTAAAACTTAATTAGAAATCAAATTATTGCATATTGAAAAATAATGAGATCAACATGTAGATAAAGGTAATTTTGTAATGTAGCTTGACTGTTTTAGTATTGTGTGTGGAAAGACAAGGAGTATTTAAGTTAGACTCCTGGGCTAAACTAGCTTGTACAGCGTCGGGTAGTCTAGTCTAGTCATTGTGTAGGTTTTGACCATCTGATTGGTGGCACTTTGACTCTTTCAGGAGATGTTTGGTTCTTTCTTGGCTCCAAGACAGGTTTTCTGGATAGACTCCTATGGAGGGGTCCCTGTTGCTAGCAATCTGGAGAGCACTAACCCATGTGAATCACACCAGGCCCTTGCAGATCATTGTAAACCTACCAGGGACCCGAAACCAAAACTTGTCTCCCTCTGTTAGTGACTATGGAGAAAGTGAGATCTAGCAAATTACCCCTCCCAACAACATTTTCACCATATTTCTTTTCAAAATTGTCAATGGAATTAACTTCAACTTCTTTCTTAAGTGCATTCCACTTTGCTACCATCTGTACAGAGAGCAAGAACTTTCGTACACATCTTCGACTCGATTGCATGTCCACCTTCCACCGACGTCCCCCTGTCCTACCTCTCTTTAATATGTATAGGCTTCCTTTATCCACTTTCCCCTCAAGATCTTGTATGTAGTTGCCATATTCCCTTTATTTTTTCTCTCCTCAAAGATTGTGAGCCAGAATTCTCTTAATCTGTTCTCATAGCTGAGTCTTCTCTATTCTGGTACTAATCTAGTTGTAGACCTCTGAGCTTTCTTTAGTTTATGCTTCTGCTTCACAATGTGTGGATTCCATGCTGGAGCTACATACTCGAGTAATGGTCTCGCATGGGTAGTGTAATTACATAAGTGTAGTTATAGGATGAGAGCTATGCTTATGGTGTCCCGTCTTTCTATTACTCTTTGTCGTATAACGCTTTGAAACTACAGTACTGACGGTTTTGGCCTCTACCACCTTCTCACTTAGCTTGTTCCAACTGTCTACCACTGTTTACAAAAGAAAATGTTCTAATATTTTTTCAGCACCCTTGTTTCCTTAGCTTGAATCCATGTCCTCTTGTTCGTGAAGTTGCTGGTTTTCAGGAATTCGTTTGTCAATTTGGTCGATTCCTGTTAGTATTTTGTAAGTGATCATATCTGTTTATTTCTATCTAGTTTTAGCATGTTTAACGCCTAAAGTCTCTCCTCGTAACTCGTTTTTCAGTTCTGAAAGCCATTTTGTAGCATGCCATTGTACCTTTTCCAGTTTATTTATGTGCCTCTTGAGATTTGAGCACCATACAACTGCTGTATATTCCAATTTTGATCTCACAAAAGTCATGAACTTTTTAGTATTTCTTTAGTATTTCATCATCCATATAATGAAAAACAAGTTTGAGGCTGGAAAGCAACACATACGCTCCTCTCACAATGTTCTTTGTATTCCTCTGGTGGCAATTTACTATCCTAAACCACCCCCTAGATTTCTTTTGGAACTAGAACTTTTTTTTTTTGTTTCACACATTTCATTTTCATTCTCAGTGAACCTGTACCCCATTCTCAATATCTAGATTTTGTCCTTTACATGCAGCTTGCTTTTAATAAATTTATAGAAAAGGCTTGTATCTGTTTTTCATTTGTCTGCTTTCCATTTCTAAACGTTCCTTTCTGCCTCTTTCCTCACTGCTGTGTATTTCTTTCTTGTTTGTTTGTAGTACTGATATATTTGAGGGTTTGGCCTCTTCCGACATTGACTCCACTTTTGTCTTTTGGTCTCTGGCCCTCTCACAGTTTGTTTAACCAATCCTGTTTCCTAGTGCTACATCTCTGTTTTGGTATAAATTTGTTTGTGCTCTTATCATATATTTCGCAAAACTTTACATACATCTCATTTACTTCCTTGCCTAACAGCAAATCTTTCCAATCAAATGTATTAAATAACTTCCTGTTCCTCATAGTATCCTCTCCTGAAATCAGGTTTTTCATCTTCATTTTCCCTATTCTCTTCCAGATTATAACGCATTGCATACTTTATTCCCAAAAGGACATGGCCACGTTTACCAATTGGGGGAAGGTACTGAAAGTTAAATCTCTTCCTCTTCCCTGGTGAACATCAAATCCAGCATGGTAGGAACATCACCTTCCCCTCATCCTTGTAGCTTGCTTAACATGTTGATACAAGAATGTCTCCAGGATGAGGTTTGCGAATCCACAGGTCCTCCATTCTAGCTTCAGAGGCCTCCCAGTCTATGGGAGTGACCCAGGTCAGCTGCAGTGTCATCATGTCTAGCTCACGATGTTTGGAAGTACGTCACTCTTGTGACAGTTTGGCCAATGTATTCTGGGCTGATATTCGGGCACGAGGATTTTGGCAGTGTAAGAGAGTTCTGACATCGCAGTATTTGGTTAATGTTCCCCAGGCCTCCTCGTGTCTGTTTGCCTTGTGTTTTGTGTCTTGGCCTGAGGTCTCATCTTTGTTCTGACTGCCTGTGGTTTCTCATCCTCCCTGGTGAGTTTCTACCCTTGTCTGTGGGTAGTTATCTTCAAGCCTCTATGGCTCCCTGATTCCCTCAATTCCTTCTAGGTAGTAAGGTATGGTGTTTTGTTTGCACATTTGCTCCAGAACTGCTTCATAGCCCAGTGGGCATTGGAGGGTCTGGTCCTCCACCCTCAGCTACTGGGGAGAGGGGTCTACCTAACTGTTGAGTACCTGTTGATGATTTAAAGTAGATTTCACCCTTCCACAAGGGCCCAATGCAGATTGTAGTTTTTGTTCTACATTTTTCATAGGCAAATAATTATTTTAGGTTCCTCTCTTATTTCACTTATGGCCTTTTTAGTCTGCCTCTCCTGGATTTTATGATTTTTTTTTTTTTTTTTTTTTTTTTTTTTTTTTTTTTTTTTTTTTTTTTTTTTATATATATACAAGAGTTGTTACATTCTTGTACAGCCACTAGTACGCGTAGCGTTTCGGGCAGGTCCCTGGAATACGATCCCTGCCGCAAAGAATCGTTACAACCAAGTACCCATTTTACTGTTGAGTTAAACAGAGGCTACAGTTAAGGATTTGCGCCCAGTAAATCCTCTCTGGCCAGGATACGAACCCATGACAAAGCGCTCGTGGAACGCCAGGCGAGTGTCTACCACTACACCACGGAGACTGGTTTCTTGCAACATTAGCAGATCATTCTTTTATATTTCTCCATTCAGTATAACCTTCCTTGTCATTCTTGGGATGGAGTTGAGCATTTAAGATGTTCTGCCATAAGTTTATCTCATCTATATAGGGAATACTATTATCTTTCCAATTTGCATCGTAGTGGGGTAGTGCTAACCCACTAGTGTTTGTTTCTAGAGACTCAATTGTTTGTCTGCTTTGCTGGGGAGGAGTTTTGTTTGGGAGTTTTGAGGCTTTGGTCTCTTTGAATCCAGCAGTTGTTTTTATTGTTTTGCCGACTTCCTGAATGCTTTTTTGGTGTGGTGGCAGAGTATTACCTGCTCTCATCACCTTTGAGTGGAAATGAGCTAGGTTCAAGCTCTTGTCCCTGGTAGCCAAACAGAACTCAACAGGTGAGGTGACCTTATAGCTGGGAGCCATCTTGGTGAGAGCTTCAGGGAGCCACTGGAGCTCACCCAGTAAGATGCGTTTCATTAAATTCGATGCTGGGTTTTTCCATTGGGGTGGCAGATTGTCTTTCCCTGCTCCTCTGTGAGGGGGGGGGGGGGGCTAGGGTCTGGCTCTGGTCCTCGATAGGCCAAGCAGAACTTCAGCAACTGACATGACCTTTTAGTATGGAGCAATCACAGCAAAATAGCTTTAGGCAGCCATTGAGCCACCTCCAGAAAAAAGCTTTTTCATTACATTCAATGTTGGGTTTGACTTCAGAATGTTGCTTTCATTTTTACCCCAGGAAATACGTCCTAATGGTGAAATAGACGAAAAAGTCACAGCATTCATAGTGGAAAGAGGATTTGCAGGAGTGAGTAGTGGTGCTCCCGAAGACAAGATGGGGATCAGAGGATCTGATACGTGTGAGGTGAGAATGCAGTTTTGTTTTATAATGCTGATTTCATATAACACGAGTGATTTATTCTTTAAATATTTGTCTAAGGCAGCTGGAATAAGATACTTATTAAAGAATTTTAACCATGCCTGAAGAAAATTGTTCATATAGCAAGGTGATATAATAGTTTTATTACTTTGATGCCTACTGTAACCACTGCTCTGCAGCATTATGCTTCACAATATTACCAACCTCAGATGGTAGTTTACAGTAAAATATAAAATGGTGTAGAACAAAGGTGCCAAAAAATATTAGAAAAGTTTCCTTAGCAAACAGTTGACAGTTGGTAGACAGTTGGAACAAGTTAAGAGAGGAAGACAGTGGATGCCAAAACCATCAGTAGTTTCAAAGTGTCATATGAAAAAGATTACTGGGAAGATGGGACACCACAAGCAGCTCTTGTCTTGTAACCTACACTTTGTAATTACACTTAGGCACTTATTTGCTAAACAGCCAGGGATGTCAGCTACATGCAATGCAGAAATGTATTAAACAGCTGGGGATGTGAACCAAAATGCAAGGAATAACAATACTTCACCTAGCTTTGTTTCATAACGGATCTCATGCACTGCTGACCCTCGGTCTGATTTTCCTTGTACGCACACACACCTTGTTTGTCAATATTCTCATTGCCTCTCCTCTCCTATACTGTACCCTAAATTTTATTTGGGGCGATGTGTTCAATTTATTTTTTATTTTTTAATATTTAAATATTGTTGTATGATGGTGTTTTTAAAATTGTACTCCATCCTCAGGTGTATTTTGACAACACTCCAGTGCCTGTAGAGAATGTTCTTGGGGAGGTTGGAGGTGGCTTCAAGGTAGCCATGAATATTCTCAACTCGGGTCGCTTTTCCATGGGCAGCTCTGGTGCAGGTTTGTATACTAATGGTTTCCATCTTCTCTTGCTAGACCATGTAATCAATTCTGTAGTCACATACTGTATTGTGATTACACCCCACATTTGCATCATATGAATAGTGACTGTTCAGTGTACAAGATTCAACCCTCATGTTCCAGTGAACCCTAGCAGTTCACCAGTAACATTTCTTACTACTTTTACAACCATGCCATTTTAAGATGACCAAAAATCATTATGATAAGTAAAAGCATAGTGGAACCTCTATTTGGTGAATCTCCCTTTTCAACGCACACTTAGCAGGCCAGATTTACTCACACCTTCGTTGAACAAATGTTCGGCAAAGCAAGTGATGTAGGTACAGTATTCAATTAGAATGCTGGGACAGTGTTCACAGATCGGTGGGAAAGTTCAGGAGCCTACTTCATTAGCACTCCTTTGGTGTCATGGCCCTACCTTTAACAAATAAGATTAACAAAGCTGGATCTTGAGTAGTGTTGACAATGAGGATGAAATTCTGTTAGTCAGGTTCACCTGGTAGTTGTTCATCATATTATTAGTTAAAATTAAAGTTTTGCTCAGGTAAATACATCCATAGAGCATAGGAAATATTAGGGTATAAGTGGTAACCTTTAATGTCTCCAATCACATTTTTAATTATTTACTTAGAGAAAGAAAAGAGTTAGTCTTGAGGAAAATCTTTGAGTATATTCAAAATCAATTTCTATGGTTTTTCATTTTGAGTTGGCATGGTTTTTGTTCCCTCTGGTATACCTTTGAAAATAAGGTTTCAAGGCTTATTCAATAGCCTTATTCAAGGCTATTGAATAAGGTTTCAATAAACTAGATGTGGTGAAATCCCTTTACAGAGTGGTCTCCTAGCATTTGTTCATCCTATTAAATGTTCAAATTCAAACTTTGTTCAGTGTGGAAACAATATTTCTGGAGGATGATTACAATGAAAAAAGAGTTCCCAAGCACGTTGTATTCATTAATAACGAAAGCATTCAAAATAGTATTCACAATACAGTATATTTATTTACTGTATTAATGCAATTAACTTGTATTTTGCTACAGGGATTATGAAGAAATTGATAGGTTGGTCCATGGAGCACGCTGTAACCCGAAAGCAGTTTGGTTCCCACCTCTCGGATTTTGCATTAATAAAAGAAAAGTTTGCACGCATGAGTGTTGCCACTTATGCCATGGAATCTATGGCATACCTGACGGCTGGAGTCCTAGACAGCCAAGAAAATGCTGACTGTTCAGTGGAAGCAGCTCTTGTTAAGGTGAGAGATGTTTTGCTGCTCCTGTTCCAGAGTTATGCCCTATTTCCTTCTTTCTACCATTACATGTATTTTTTTATTTGTTTCTTCAATTTGAATATAGTGCTGAGAGTGTGTTTTTAACATTAAATTGCCAGACTAGTCGAGCTTTAAAAATCATGCCAGGTCTCTGAGACTTGCACTGGCCTAAAGCAAGCCAAGACCAGAATCAGGCTCTACGAAGCAAAGGGAACTTTGGAATCAGTGACTTGCCCAAAATAAAAATAAAAAAAGCTCGCCAGAAAAGTTAGGTGAAACAAAACAAGTTACCGATTGAAAGAAAAAAGTAGCCCCAAAGCAAACGATCCTTGGTGCTTGGGAACATTCCTAACCTTGATGTGCACGACCACCACTAGATAACCACCCAGGGGGCCAGATTCACGAAGCAGTTACGCAAGTACTTACGAACGTGTACATCTTTCCTCGATCTTTGACGGCTTTGGTTACATTTTTTAAACAATTTACAAGCATGAAAACTTCCCAATCAACTGTTGTTATTGTTATAAACAGCCTCCTGGTGTATTGGAGCTCATAACTGTTTAATAATTGTAAACAAAGCCGCCAAAGATCGAGAAAAGATGTACAGGGTCGTAAGTACTTGCGTAACTGCTTCGTGAATCTGGCCCCAGGTCATCCGGGGTTCCAGCCAGCAGCCTACCTAACTTGGCAGATGTAGTTTGAATTGCACCTCTCTGCTGAAACCTGAGAGCTGTTCCCTTCTGTAAAGTTGTGTTAGCTGTTCCTGTTTCATGATTTTGTTTAGTTCCACCCACATTCATTGTTCCCGTGATTACTTGGCTCCATCAATACACCAGGGTTGCCTTCCCTGGTGGCTGGTCTGTGTTTTTCATGATCTACTTAAGATACCTATGTTGTAGAATTTCAGTTTCCTCCTCTGAAGTTGGCTACTTTTGAGTCATCTTACACCCAAGTAGAATATTGGATTTTATCTCCACAGTTTTATTGATGGGGAGGTGATGTAGCTAGCTGTGTGCTTGCATTTTTGTGTGTGTGTGTGTGTGTGTGTGTGTAATTACAGTACCTAAGTGCTGTTATAGGACCAGAGCTATGCTCATGGTGTCCCATCTCCCAGTACTTTGACACTTTGAAACTACTGACAGTTTTGGCATCCACCACCTTCTCCACTTAACTTGTTTCAACTGCCTAACACACTGTTTCCAAGAGTGAACTTTCCAATGTTTTTTGGCAGCTTTGTTTCTGTAGCTTAAATCTATGATCTCTTGTTTTTGCAGTTCCAGGTTTCAAGATGCCTTCTTTGACAATTTTGTCGATTTCCATTACTATTTAGTACGTAATGATTTTGCCTCTCTCTTTTCTTCTCACTTAGTTTTTGCATATTTATTATCCCTAGCCTCTCCTCATAGCTCTTGTCTTTCAGTTCTGAAAGCCATTTTGTTGCATGTCATTACACCTTTTCCAATTTGTTTGTGCTTTTTCAGGTATGGGCACCATACAACTGCTGCATATTTCGGTTTTGGTCTCAAAAGTTGTGAACAGTTTTAGTATTTCACCATCCATATATTTAAAAGTGATTTTGAAACTGGAAAGCATAGCATATGCTCATTACACAATGCTCTTTGTGCTCCTCTGGTGACAATACTATTCAGAATCTCCCCTAGATCTCTCTTTGTTAGAGTTCTTTCATTTTTTTCAACATAACCAAATTTGTAGGTTGTGTGGCCTATTTTCTCCTGTTCCATAATCCATAACATGGCATTTATTTACATTGAATTCAGTTTGCCACATGGTGCTCAATACACTATTTTTATCTAGGTCATTTTGAAGGGCATGATGGCAATTGCCCCTCTCTTCCCTAGTTGCTTAGCATCATCAGCAAACATACTCAAATAATTCTGTATTCCTTCTGGTAGATTCTTTATACAGTATAGATGATGAACATTACTGGTGCAAGAACTGAGCCCTGTGGTACTCTGCTAGTAACACACTTCCAGTCGAATACAGTGACTCTGATTACTGCCCTCATCTTTCTGGTAGCTAGAAAATTTGTCATCCATGTTATCAGTCTCTTTGTCATCCCTCCACCATGTTCGTTTCCAAAACAGCCTAATGTGTGGAACAGATTTTCAGATAAAAAGGACTCTGTGAAAGTACATTTTTTGGTCCAGATAAGCAATCAACCTAACGATTTCTCTTCTGTAAAATCTCTGTGGCTCTGTAATAAAATAATTTGTTGCACAGTCATACCCATACTGTCTCTTATTATATCATTTCACTCCAGGTACTTTATTCATTTGGTTTTAACTTTTTCTAAAGTTTTGACTACCACACTTGTTAATGATTCAGGTCTAATTTAGAGGGTCTTCTCGGTTAACATTTCTGTAGATTGGAACTGATGACTCTAGGATTGAGAAAATCTGTAGGATCCTTGACGAGGGTTCGAATGTATGTGCTGGGTGTTCCCAAGCACATGCTCTAGACAACTATGCCATGACTTGGTAAAAGAATTGCAATCTGGGGTACTACTGCACCCTCTAGTATTCCTGAGGCTTCAACTAAAACCGAACCAGTTTCACACAATTTCCCCATGCACTCTGGCTTCGTCATCTAGGACTGTTATACCTTTGATGCTCCTCTTTCAATACACTAAGAGTAATCACACTATCGTGATGCACCAGTGAGAAAATCTGTAGGAGCCGTAATGAGGGTTCAAACCTATGTTCTGGGTACATGCTCTAGACATCAATGCCAAAATATTGTTGAAGGATTACAACCTAGGATACTACTGCACCCTTTAGGATTCCTAAGGTTTCAACTTAAGCCAAACCAGAGTTTCACACAATTCCCCCCATGCACTCTGGCTCTTGTCATCTAGGAATGTTATACCTTTTGAAGCTCCTCTTTCAATGCACTGAAAGTAATCACACACTCGTGATGCATCACTGAGAAAATTCGTATGAGCTGTGATGAGGGTTTGAACCTATGTGCTGGATGTTCCCAGCGCATAGGTTTACAATTGACCAGACCATCAACCAGAAGCCTGGTCAGAGACCAAGCTGTGGGGACCTAGATCCCCAGAATCAATGTAGGGTAACCTCAAGGTATGCTGGTTTTTGGCATTAACTAGCTCTGTATTTCTTCAGTACTGTAGTGCATTTTTTCTTAATTAACACTTTGGCATGCCCCGCGTGCCACCCCTCAACTGTGCGATTTGGGTCCCAGAGTTTCACGGGAGCGTGCGTTAATTCTGAAAAGTGTATACTCTCCAACTTTGTCACCTTAATTCTAGTCCTACGAGATTAAATTTGGTATCATTGTGTTCGCAATAGAATAATCTACAGCACTAAATGCATATAAACTCCAAAAGCCCGGCTAATTACCCGCAGCAAACAGAGAAAGTGCGAACGAGTTACCTAGGAGCGAGCAAAAGCGATAAAATGTGTTCACTCTGGTTACCTCAATTTTCGTCCTAGGTCTTTCATTTTGGTATCAATGGGTTCGCAATAGAATTCTCTAGAGGAACATTAGCATATAAAATAAAAAACCTGGTCACGCTCCACCCGCCGACGAGTTGAAGACGGGCCACACGTTAACCGCAAGTGAGCGCCCAGACACCTTCCAGCTATACTCCCAATTCCTGCCCACAAATGTTTAGTATTTAGTATTTTAGAATATGTAGTATTATAGTTTAGTATTTTTTGTGTAGTAGTTGTACATCACATAAGCATTGTAGATAGCCATTTGCACAAAATAGGTGGTCATTTTCTTCGTCCATTTGTGAGTTTTCCTTATGAAGTGATAATATTTGATCATTTGGTCAAAGTGATCAACACCTTTCATGTTTGTATTGTAGTCACAGATTGCATTCGGCTTGTTAACAGTTACCAAACAGTCCCAAAAGAATTGGATAAAAACCTGATTTTTGGCAATTATTTTAGTGGATGACGCAATGCTGCGTCATCCCCGAGATTACCGACAGTAAACGGATGACGCAATGCTGCGTCATGCCCGGACTAAAGTGTTAAATAATTAGAATAGGTTTACATGATTGTATGAGTTGGAATGAGTTTCTGGGATGAGAATAAGATTGTGGATTACAGTTCTAATTAGTTCTTTAGACACTAGTGAAGTGGCTTATCTATTTATGGGTCTGAATACTGCATTTTCGTGAGAAATAAATTATATTAATACAGATTGTGTTAGATGACAATTTCAATAATTCTAAAAGATATGATTTATTTTCCTTTTTTAGGTGTTCAGCTCTGAGGCTGTATGGCAATGGGGGTCTGAGTGTCTGCAGATTTTGGGTGGCCTTGGCTACATGAAATCTTACCCGTTTGAACGTTACCTCCGTGACTCTCGCATTCTCTTAATCTTTGAGGGAACAAATGAAATTCTTCGGCTGTTTATAGCTCTAACTGGTAAGAGTCCATTATATATTATACAGGTACAGAGCACCACTTGGTTTCCGAACCCCTTGGGGACGAGACCCGTCGGTTAACATGTAAGTTCGTATACGAGAAATGGAGAAAAAAAATAGAAACATCAATGAAAAACTCTAGGGGAAAAAATCGACAGGTTCATAGCGTAAATGCTACCGTATTTTGTTTGTACTCGCCGATAATTGAAGTCCTGATCCGCTTATGTTGATGAAAGATGTTGATGAAGCATAGTTATTTACATGGAAGAGGTGGTGGTGGATGTTGATGGTGTTGGGTAGACTGAAGTTGATGGGTTGACTGAAATTGTTGAGTTTACTGAAGTTGTTGGGTTGACTGGGTCAACATGCGATGAGTCAGGTGCAGGTGATGCAATGTCAGCTTTCTTGGAAGCTATTGCAAAAGACTCTTTAATTGACATTTGTTTCATTCCCTTGGCTCTTGTTTTTAAAAACTTCATATACAAATTGTACTGACTCATCATGTCCCTAGTTTCAAACTCACTGTAACTCGTGTCTATAAATGCCAGAATGTCTTCAAAATTTTTCTGAACTTTTTCCATATTACATTTTTCCTTTAACGTTTCTTCATCCTCTTCCTTTTCATCTCCATCTTCTTCCTTGCACTCTTCTGGCTTTTTTTCTGTACATTCTAATTCTATAATTCCATCATCAATCATGTTTCGATTGTTTTGGGCTTCATCATCAAAATCTATCCACCTATCTATGTCATCTATTGTTTCAGTCACCACTTCTGCTCTCAGCTCAGGAGATTTAATCCCCCTTGACATAGGCTAGGAGTTCCTCTCTCAATATTTTCCTCTCGCTAACTTACTTCACCGCAAATCCTTCAAAATCTGCCATGTCATCTTCCTCGGGAAACAGACTTGACGTGGGCCAAAGTTTTTTCCAACCATTTCTTAGTGTTGTCTGCTTTACCTCATCCCATGCACTAGCAATAGTCCAGATAGCTGACTTTTATTATGAAGACTATATAAAAGTCCTTAATTGTTCCTAGCTGATTATTAAGACGTCTGGCAAACATCCTCTTGTGGTGGTGTTTAAGGCTCTTAATTATTCCTTGATCCATGGGTTGGATCACTGAAGTTGTATGGGTGGCAAGAATGTTCCAATAATATTGCCATTTACTAGCTCATCACCTCGTGGATGCGTTGAACTGTTATCTATCAGCAGCACAACTTTGCTGTTTTGTGGGAGACCAACACTTTTCAGGTGCTCCTTAACCTCGGGTACAAAGTTCTTATTAAACCACTCTACAAATATTACTCAAGACATCCACGCACTTGGCTGGTCCTTATAAATCACAAGGAGGCACCTGGCTGACTTTAAAGCCCTGGGTTTTTTACTAATTCCAATCACAAGTAATTTTAATTTGTGCATGCCAGCTGCATTTTCACAGCACAACAAAGAAATTCTCTACACTACACACAGAAATCACAATTGCGTGATGCATCAAATGAACAAATCCACAAGGGCCATGACGAGGATTCGAACCTGTGTCCGAGAGCATCCTAGACGCTACCTTAATCGACTGAGCTACGACATGGAAAAGGAGTTGAAACCGAAGTTCTACTGAACTTACTGGATCCTGCAGCCTCTCCGAGGCACAAACCAGGGTTTTACACAACTCCCCCTATGCACTCGAGCTATGTCAATAGGCCGTTCTCCCTCTTCGCCCTTACTTCATTACACACCGAAATCACAATTGCGTGATGCATCAAATGAACAAATCCACAATCCACGACGTGGAAACAAATTCCATGTCGTAGCTAAGTCGATTAAGGCAGCGTCTGGGATGCTCTCGGACGCAGGTTCGAATCCTCGTCACGGCCCTTGTGAATTTGTTCGAAGAAATTCTCTGTTTGTTCTGTTTATAACCACCTGAAGGATCGTCCTCACCACTATGAGCCATCGTGTCTGTGGGAAGCATACGCCAGTACAAACCTGTCTCATCAGCATTATAAATTTGCTCTGGAGATAAATTTTGTTCCTGTACCATCTCCGCAAATTTACTTACATACTCATCAGCACCAACAATATCAGCAGATTGTCTTTCACCATGCACTTTAATGAACCTAATGCCATGACGGGTTTTAAAGCTTCTGAGCCATCCATCACTGTATACACACTTTCGTGTAATTTTTATTGCTTGGTGAAATTCACGCGCCTTTTCCACGAGCAGCCAACCTGCCACTGGCTTCTTCGTCACCTCACATCTCTATTTGCACCACTCCCACACTGCGTTATCAACACACTCCACCTTTGCTTTCACCTTGTGTGTGTGTGTGTGTGTGTATGTGTGTGTATATATATGTGTGTGTGTGTGTGTGTGTGTGTGTGTATAATATATATATAAATAAAATTGCATGCATGCAGTGATATATATAGTAATGTATAGTGTATCATATTACCCTATGTTCACATATTTTTCAGGATTGCATCATGCGGGACTTGAGCTGCGTGAGATGGTTCGAAAGCTGCGTAATCCTGTAATGAATCCTGGTTTTATATTCACGAAGGTCATCGAGAAATATCGACAACAAAAAGATTATCCCAAACTGGATTTAGAATTGGCAAGTTACGTTCACCCGACACTAAAACCAGGAGCTGATGTTCTTGAGTACTCTGTGAAGCGCTTCCAATACAGTGTGGAGACAGTGTTAGCCAGACACGGTAAGTGTAAATTATCATGTTACAATAAGTTTAATGCAAGAATATTGTTAACATGATGAATTACAGCACATAGTTTTCTGCACTGCACAATACTATGAGTACATCATCAATTTGGTGAAAGGTTGGGATAGATTTGTCTGTTGTGGCTCTCAGGTGCATGTGCTCTGCTATTTCAAGGTAGGACCAGTGACCTACCTTGCTAGTTTAACCTACTCCACTTGTCTATGCATCTCAAGTTTCTGACATGGGTTAACCACCATCTGTATGGCATGCTGATGACTGAATTGTTGGTGTCCAATATACGTCTTTTGTTGCAGCAGCAGTATGAATTTTCTTGGTGTGCTTGTAGTGTGCTTGGAGCATGTGCTCATGGCTCCCTGTCCTGAGTGCTCTCTAGTGTTGGCCCTGCAATGACAGTACGTTCTTCTCTGGTGTGTTTGGGAGTTCACTCTTAGGTCTGTCCACTAGGGTGGGGCTCTCTTCCTGGGTGTGTCAAGGGTTTTGCTGCCCCTCTATCTAAGCCCCGGGTTGGGAGCGAGCATTGGGTAGTTGAGGCACACTGGTGCTTTAGTTCGCATGTTCACATGGCACTCTGAAGTCAGCTTTCAGAGCCATGTTACCTAGGTTGTTTAGGCTTATTATGTAATATCTGGCCAGCATCCATAGTGCCTGCGTGTCCTACTTGTTTACCTTTCATGCCCTAGAAATCCCCTTTGGGTTCAGTGTGACCCTTAGATATCCCCAATGAATCCACTCTCACCTTGTGAGAGTTTGAGGGCTGTTCGTTGTCCGTGCCACTGGGTGACGATCATTCTCTCTGCCTCTGCTAAGCCTGTTGGGTTTGTGACTTCTACGACCCAGAGCTGTGGTGTTTGCTTTCCCCATGTGGCTCTTCTTAATGAACCTACCTGACCATATTCAAGTACATCAGGCAGCTAATGCTTTACCGGTTCATTTTGCCCACCATCAGTGGTCTGTGGTGTGCCACCATCAGTGGTCTGTGGTGTGCCACCATCAGTGGTCTGTGGTGTGCCACCATCAGTGGTCTGTGTGCTGTGGTTTTTTATATTCCTCCTCTCCTTGTACAAGTTTGACCTAAATGCAGCTCCCCTAGGGTTCGTTTCTGCATGCCTCTTATCCTGCCAGATATGTCCTTCCAGAGATTCCCTTCCTCTCATGTTCTTCCATTTGATGACTTGGGCAGATCTCTCCAAGCCTGTCCTATGAGATCCATAGTTTGATTCTATGATGGACCCTGCCTCTTTTGAATTTGGGCCTTAGTGACCCAGACTCATAAGAGGCTGCATTATGAGGTTCCAGAGTCCTCCTGGCTAGCAGACTTTTCTCAGTGTATGGCTTCAGGGTGCCACAAGTAAGTTCCCCCAGTTTTTTAGTTTAATAAGTTTATTTATTATGCACCCCATAGTCATCCTGTGGGCAATAGTGAAAAGGGTAACAGAGGCACAAAAGTCCCTGAGCAGATTATGTGCCTCTGCAACCGTTTCCACTACCTCCCACAGGATGGGTATGGGGTGCATAATAAGTGAATTAAACTAAAAACCTGACTTTCTGAAGCTTTTAGCTGAAATGGTACCATCTACTTGGGCACATCAGTTGTGGAGATCTATAGGACATGCCGGTACCAATGACATCACCTGGTCCCTTCATAGAGACACAGGGAGAGGTGACTATTTTTCACCACCTCACCGGGGAAGGCAACCAGAAAGTCAGCGAGTCAAAAACCACTGCTGGGTTTGTTTGTTTCAGGTGTTGTTTCGGTCTCTCTTGCTTCCGGTCGTCAGATGGGCAAACTTCCTGGTCTCTTCTGGCACCAAGGCTTCTGTCCTTCGACCCTGACAGATGGTTTGTTTGTATGCTGCCAGCTCCTTTTCTGACGCAGTTGGAGTCGGTTGGCTTTTGAAGGGGTCACCTGGTCCTTGATGACTGGTTGAGTCAGCCACATGTGCATCTTGTATTGTGTTTGGTAGCAGTTTTGCAGTTTTTCTTGTACTGCTGGTTCTGCATCAGTAGCTTCTTTTTTTTTGGGGGGGGGGATTCCTATTGCCTTGGTCCCTTTTTCAGGGTTCATTTCTCTGGGTGTTTGCAGTATCTTTCTGCTGCTTCTCAGCTCGGCCCACAAGATAACCTCAAGATCAAGAATCTTAAGATAATCAAGCTGGTTTTGAAAATTGGCCTCCATTGGAATGAATATCTATGGTTATTGATCTTAACTTACTATTTGAACACCTCTGTTGTTGATTTGTAACTTGAGACATTCCTGGAACTATACTTTTAATAACAAATGTGTATTATTTTTATATTTTAGGGATGAAAGTAACTGATCCCAAGAATCAGATGGAATTGGCTCGTCTGGCCAACTGTGCCATTGATATTTATGGCATGACTGCTGTGCTGGCGCGTGCATCACGTTCGTACTGCATAGGCATTGCAAATTCTTCGCATGAGGTTAGTTGTGTGAAAATTGATAAATGTATTGTTTAACTGACCTGTTTACAGCAGATGAGAACCTGTCTGTACATGGTATGACACTTAGTAATCCATCAACAGAGTACAGCAGGTCTATTACATGGAGAAGTAAGAAGTCTCCTAGGACTATAGTTGGTTTAATGATGCTTATAACACTTGCCAGAATTCTAGGGCTTTAAATTGTGTTTTTTATAATCATTCATAGATTGCAGCAGTGGAAACCAGAATGCCATTGCTCTTTATTTTTAGGAGTATCAATGTCCATCAAATGAAATAAAAATTGAGTATTGAATGTAATTAAATAAAATACTTTATGCAGAAATGATTGTAAGTTTATAATAAAATTAGTTTACCCAATTTTTCTGGGAGGAGCCCCATCGGCTCCCCGAGCCATCCAGGCTGATATGTTACTATTAGCTTTCTGGCATCAGTCAAAGTGCATGGAGTTCTTGCTTATCAGGGACAAGAGCCAGAACCTGGCCCCCTCAGAAAGGCACAAGGAGCAATGACTTATAGAAGCCCTCGTGTGATTGAAAGCATTCTGTGTCTGATATCAACCAGGTCTGGGACCCAGAAAGCTAGGTGCTTCAAAACAGACCCCCCTATTCTGGTGAAAACATTGCTACTGAAAGCCGTACGAATAGACAGAACTCCCCAAATGAAAACTAGCAACTAGCATGATGTCATCACATCTCTGCGCCGCCATCTGCCTCCCCTCTGCATCAGTGATCCAACCTCCAGTTCTTAGGCTGGATGTTAAAAACACGCAAAAACACTGCCGACTGGAGGGAGGGAGGAATGCCAGGAAGCGTCCGGGTCTCACCCAGAAAATGGTGTTTCATTACACTCTACGCTGGTTTTCTTGGGGGGAGAGCCCCGTCGACTCCCCGGAGCTACCTCACGAAAGATAAGGAAAAGAGGAAAGGACCAGGGAGGCGGACACCATGTGCCCTAACTCAAAAACAAGACAACAGACCAAACCAACGGAGCCAGCAGATGACCCAGGAGACCTGAACTCCGGAACAGGAAGGAAGGAAGAGAACCCACGAAAACCAAAGCACAGTCGTGCCACATTGACCCCCAGCCAGACCAACCAAGCATTGATCACCAGCGGACCCCTCAAAAAGCTAGCTGACTCATTCTTTGCCAGAGAAGCAGAAGGCTGCAAATGCCCACCAGGACCGAACTAACAAAACCCGCCTCTGGAGAAGAGCCTGTAGCTCCCAGCCCTATGGCTGGAGACGACAGCCATGAAAAACACAGCTTTGAAAAAGATATCATGAGTCCAAGAAGAACCACAAAATGTATGAAGGAGAGGAAGACCAACTCCTGATCAAGAGACCAGGCTGACTTAGAAGCATGAGTTCACCAGAAGTAAAAAAAAAAAAAAAAAAAAAAAAAAAAAAAAAAAAAAAAAAAAAAGCACGAGAGAACTTTGAAATGGCACAGAAAGAGTTGATGTCGAATGCAGGCAACGGTGCTGAGCTATAAGAGGTGACAGTATAAGGCATGATATACTGATCTAGAAACAACCAAGAAAGAAAGGACAAGACAGCCTTCACTGAAACTGAGGAAAGATGACGAAGAATCAGATAGTGGGGAAACAAGCACCAAGCAATCTCGTACTGTCACCTTAAGAAAAGACATAAATGGGACACCAACAAACAAACCACCTGTTCACCATACAAAAGACAATAAACACGCTTCAAAAACTACAGATGTGTCGAGCAGAGGAGAAGATTGAACCAGCAAAGTACATTGTCGGGCTGATCTGCTGAAAGAGGCGGAGGTACAGGAAAAATGCCCAGTTTTGTACATTGGGCTAAAAACACTGAACTAAGGTTGGGCTGGTAAAGGTGTCCACTGCAAGAGCCTCACGATCGGAGAATGGAACCACATTGGAGGAAAAGCACCTATTCCACACTGACATGAGGTTCTCCATCTTGGGGCAATCGAGTGTCTTGCAGATCCAATAGGAGGACATTGTCGACTGTCCACTCTGTAGAAATGGGACAGAAGCGAGATAACCTTCCCGAGGAATGTTGGACACAACACCAATCGGGCATGGGTGTCTGACAGAACCCTTGCCAAGCCTCCAAAAGCCCCCCAAGGAAAAGAGGTGGATGTCAACCAGCCAGGATGGATCCAGAGCCTCACATTGCAGCCAATAAGCCAAGATAGACCCATACTTAAGAGACCAGATCCATCAATGAAAAAGACCTTGGGGAAGACCAGAAGCAGGCTAAATGACACCTGAAAGGGAAAGAGGAGCCACGGACTTTATCCAGGTAGAAATCACTAACGCCACCAATTTTGGGTTCTAAGCATTACGAACAAACTCCAGATATCCGATTAATCAAAATGCCTTGAATGCCTAACCTTCTTTCATGGCTGTTTTTTATTTGCATCTTATGCCAAATATTATCGCCTCATATTGTGTGACACTGGCGGAGCCACTGTAGCTTGCGTTTAGAGTCATTACTACCTCTGCTCCATTTCTCAAGCTTCCCTGCTGGGCAGGGTTTGGCTCTGGGCATTGTACCAGCGTCTCTGGTTCTGCCCATTTCACCGCTCATGGGACCACAGGTTTGACTCCCATCCACCCTCTGTCAGCTCTTGCTTTGCCAGCTTTCTCTTCAGGTTTTTCAGGGTTAGTTCTCATGGCACCATCCTGCCCCATCTCTCAATGTGTTTACAAACAACTTGGCTCCAGATTGGGGCATGGTGATCAGTGCTTCCCAGGTTATGCAGGTCACCCAGGTCACTTTCTTTTATTTTGGGCACATTTGAGCAGTTTGGGAGCTAGCAGCTGTGTGATGTGTCCTGCAGAGGACTCTATTTCCTTCGGGCTCTGTGCTTCATCTCCCCAGTGGTTCATTGCCATAACCCTCATGCTCTTGGTGTTTGCAAATGCAGTACTTTGCTTTGGCCATGGTCTTTTTTAATATGTCCTCAACTGATATTTGATCTTGGGTTTTGCTGTACTAACAGGGTTCTGGCGGCAATTTTTGTGAACCTTCCAGTTGTCATAAAGCATTGCTGACTTTCAGGGAGCCGGTCGGCCGAGCGGACAGCACGCGGGACTTGTGATCCTGTGGTCCTGGGTTCAATCCCAGGCGCCGGCGAGAAACAATGGGCAGAGTTTCTTTCACCCTATGCCCCTGTTACCTAGCAGTAAAATAGGTACCTGGGTGTTAGTCAGCTGTCACGGGCTGCTTCCTGGGGGTGGAGGCCTGGTCGAGTACCGGGCCGCGGGGACACTAAAAGCCCCGAAATCATCTCAAGATGACCTCAAGGATACTTTCCCAGTGGGGTGGTGAATTGTCACTCACTCTTTGCTTCTGTGAGGGGTGGGGCCAGGATCTGGCTTTGGTCGCCAGTAGGCCAAACAAAACTTTTACTGATGTGACTTTAGTATAGATACCTTCAGGGAGCCACTGGGGTTCTACCAAAAAGAGGCACATTATTACATACAAAGCAGAGCAGCAGAACTTCCTGCAATTTAATATGCTCACAGACAGTTACCTTTTTTATGGAAACATTTATTTGTTATTGTGATTTCTGCAGTGCTCTTATGGCCCTGGAGTCTGTTAACCCTTCGTATTCTGTAGTAATCAAGATCCAGCAATGGTTGTTTCTCATCTTTAGCATCTTGAGGTTATCTTGAGATGATTTCAGGGCTTTTTTAGTGTCCCCGCGGCCCGGTCCTCGACCAGGCCTCCACCCCCAGGAAGCAGCCCGTGACAACTGACTAACACCCAGGTACCTATTTTACTGCTAGGTAACAGGGGCATAGGGTGAAAGAAACTCTGCCCATTGTTTCTCGCTGGCGCCTGGGATCGAACCCAGGACCACAGGATCACAAGTCCCGCGTGCTGTCCGCTCGGCCGACCGGCTCCAGCATATGTAAGAAAATAAAGTTTTGCTGCATTTCCTTCACCATTACCTCTAGTGACCATGCGAATGCTGACACTAAAGTAGTAGTTTGTTCCAATCGTATCTCCCAGAAGCTAATACCATAGTCTAATCCATATCCAGTCATTCTAAATACAGTACAATCAAAAACCATCGATATTGGTAGCATGTAATTTATTCATTATAGTAATCATGACCTATCCCCATGGCCTTCCTCCTACCACAGAAACAGGAAGTGAGAAATTTTGCTGCCTAGGTGACATATTGGCCACACATAATTAACTTATGGACCAGAGGACTACACCTTGTTATAGTCCTCTAAAACGATGCATTTCTTGTTATAAAGGACTATAATGGCTTTGTTCCCCTAACTTGTACTTCCTCATAGAATGTCCTTGATTTTCACATTTTTTCCTATTGTTTCTTCAAGGCATTTGTTCCTCAATAAAATCCTTTTGTGAACCAGATTTCTTTGATACCACTATTTTTGTCATTTTTTACTTAAATATCATCCTGAATATCTAGGAACTTTTGCATATTCTAACACACAGATTGGTTCTATATAATCTTCTGATGTGTAACTTTCCACATGATTTATTTATGATAAAATAAGTGTAGAATAGTGTTAATTTTAGACTGATGAGTTCATTGTTCTGCTAATTAGCATTTTTTACGGGCTATTCATGCCCGTGCCACCTCTTGGGTGGCTTAATCTTCATCAATCAATCAGTTAGCATTTGTAGATGGTGTTGAGGGTATTGCTCCCTACTGTGTTAGAAGAGTTTGGTCCCTGGTGATGGCTTGAACTTGACTCGATACATTTTTTCATGATAAGACTATGACAATTACTACTTATGTAACTCACAGTTCCTGCGACGGCGCTGGAACCAATCGTATTGGCGTATGCCTTTCCATTGGAGACTTTCAGCGCCGTGGAGAGGAGGGGACCTGCTGCCTGGGTAACAGCTTCTTCCCCGAATCAACCTACCCTGGCTTTGCGCTCTGGAGAGGCCACTCCAGACCAGGCCGACACCAGAGCGCAACTCCATAGTCTCCTGAGACTGATGGATGCCTACTACTACTTATGTTGTGCTAGCATTTCCTGTGATCCTACTGAGCATATAATCACTGTTTCATTGCACAATTAAAGGTGAAAATGGAGTGGTGGTGATGGTGATAATTTGCACTTAATGTATACCATCCCCATTTTTGTTAATTAAATATGTGTCATTACAGGTGCAACTTGCCTTGACATTTTGTGATGAGGCTTCTGCTCGTGTCAAGAAAATGGTGAAGGACATTGAAGATGGCCCACGCCTCAATAATGACAACATTTATATCAAAATTGCCGACACTATGATTGAAAATAAAGGATATGCTGCCGAGCACCCTTTGACGCGCGTCTTCTGGTGATAGGAGACTATAACTGATGAAACAGTTTTAAGTAGATATGTAAAAATTTTGTGTTGGCTAAATTATTTTTAAACTACTATCCAGACTTTTGAGTAATCTAGTTACAGTATATAAAAACATAATTTGACGTTTTAACATTTTATTACATGTAAATACTAGATGAAGTGTAAATAAATTGAATTTGTAAGAAAATAATGTGGTTATAACACTGTATTGCATTACTCTGTAGAAAGGAGGATTCCAGTCTGTGTAACCTGACATGACTGTGAAATTAGTAACTATGCTGGGAGTATCCTACTTTATGACTACTTGCAAGTATTTCACACACTTGTATATGAGAACAAGTGTATCCACAAAGGGTTCAAGTGTAATTTAAAGAGAAAGTGGTATTTAATAGAAAATATTCAGTATTACTAATTTCCTCTCCCTTCATTGTTACTGCATAATATATACTAAGAGTTTATTATATTATCTTTATTAAATGGTTGCCATTAACAAGTGACACTGTATACAATAGCTTCTATTTGCTAGGTTTTCTGGCAGTAAAATAATAGTAAGAGTTTTTGTGTGGTGTAGACACCACAGTATTCTTGAGCCACTTGTTCAGGACCATTGTCAGGTCTGGAACTCAAGTTTTTTCCAACATTAGATCCAATGTGTGTATGATCAGGTACCATCAATAATCTATGGAAGTAATACATTGAAAAGCCCTTTATTAACCCTCATAGTGTGGTTATCGTCATACGTTGATTTAAATTATTATTGCCTATGTTTTACACATACTATGCTAATATGTATATATTAGCTCTGTGGATATACCTTAAGTATGAAAAATATCCTGCTATCGTTTTATGGTTACTACTGTATGTGAATGCAGTTATTGGTGCAAATGTTACTATACTGCAATATAAAATTGCATCATTATTATATGCAATAGTTGCTCTCTCAGCAACTCAGCTCAGCAGAAACAATAATTATTTATTATTATAATATTAATATTGTAATAATAATATTTGAGTTGTGTTGTAGTCTCTATAGGACTCCCAGTCCTTCCATAGGAGGTTCTGCAGGGTCCGCAGCAAGGCTACCAGCCTGCTGCAGTATTAGTACCAGGGGCGGCCCTTCAGGTCATCGTCCTCGTGCATGAGCTCTTGCCTCTGGCGCCTTCAACCAGCTGCTCTGGGTAGATGGGACTCAACAGCCTGGAAAGGCAGCTCATCTAGGGGGAAGGAAAACACTGATCTCAAACTTCTGCTGCCTCACGGCCATACCCACTTTTGGGACGGACTTCAGGAGTCAACCTCGAGGAAACATCCGGAGCTGGAGCCCCAAAGGAAGTTCGATGTTGACTTCAACCTCGTTCTGGCAGCTCCTGTGACGGCACTGCAACCAAGCATATTGGCGTTTGCCTTTCCATTAGACAATTTCAGCAACGTGGAGAAAGGGGGGGGGGGGTTGCTGCTGCATAGGTAACAGCTTCTTCTCCATATCGACCTACCATGGTTTTGCGCCCTATAAAGGACACCCCAGTCTCGGCAACCAGAGCGCAACACTCTAATCTCCCAAGACTGCAGGATGCCTACTACTATACCAATGATGTTCATGTGGTTTTCTCTACTATATGTGGTTGTTGTGAAGTATACCAGGTCAATCATCATTTATACATAATAATAATGGAACTGCAGAAGGCCTATTTGCCCATACAAGGCAGCTCCTATTTATAAATAGGAGCTCCCTCATATGGTCCAATAGGCATATTTGAGCAGCCCTTATTTAAATTGATATAAATATAAGCGGCCTTGAATGGGGCCCATATGAGGCAGCTCTTGTTTATATGGATATGAATAGCAGCATCCTCATATTGGTCTATTTAATGTGTGTGTATTTATATCATTCGCATTATACATACTGTATACAGTAATCGCTCATCTATCCAAGACGATGTCCAAGGTCAATATATTGAGTGTGAGACTCGGGGCAGTGTATGTTTCGCTGACAAAAGGTCTTGCGATGGCAGATGAGGCATATGGAAATGATAATGGTAACATCAGCGCTCCTCTGGTGGCCACCAGCAACTCGCATCAGCTGATTGAGTTTAAATGGACCACTGGCCCCTCACTGGAAGGGGGGCGACTCCGTCAGCGTAGCTCCACAATCTTCCACAGGTCGGCCACTCACTGTCTTCACCAGGCAGTAGATAACATATACATTCTGTCCCACAGCCTAATCTACTCCTATGGCTTGGAAACACTAGTAAATACCTATAGATATAACAATAGGCCTATCTTACCTAACATCAAGGGAAATATGGGAGGGAAAAATGATCTATCTTGTCAAGTCCTGCCCTCAGACGCCTGGACTTTGATGGTTGCCGGGGTTCCTCGGTCCCTCATATCGTTTCTTGGCATTCCAGATGAGTCGCCAGTCCATAGGCATCGTGAAGACTCATCATCTCCGTGCTTATTCCCGTAGTGAAGTTCCTGGTCACTGGCAGCGCCAGTCGTCACTGCACAAGTCGTTTCCCTCAAGCACTCCTTCACTGAGACCAATCACTCATGGATCAGGATGTGTCTTCTCCCTTCTGAGTTCCCAGTGGGTGTGATCCAATCACAACAGTTCTGAACACCTTGGAGTTCCACTGACAGCGAGCCGCTCACCACTCCTGCCATCGTAACACACTCAACTCCTCCAAGACTATAAGCTCACAGTCCTCGGCGCCCTTACATCGCTGGAACTCGCCTTCCTCGCACTTCCCTAAGTACTGCAGTCTTTGGTAGTCACTATAAACTTGTCCGGCTGTGTAATCCCACTGAATGAGGCTCCTGGACTTCGGAACTCGAGAGCTCAATCAGCGCACGTCCACTCTCAATGAAGCGCCGCGTATCTCTGAGCACCTGTCGCTCTGCAGGCGACGGGCAAGGTCTCCCGATGATGTCACAGACCCAAGGGTGGGCTCTGATTAGTTCCTGTCATGTGACCTCTGCCAACCAATCACCAGCCGGCTGGCATCTCACACAAAATGATGGATTTGCAGAGGAGGGGGGGGGGAGGCATTTGGTTGTACCTAGGGTGCCACTTTCCCCCCTTACCTACACACTTAAAATGCAAATTTCTCCACAAATAAGTAACCATTTCGGTAGTCTCGTACATCAAAAGATTCCCTGCATCTCGGAGAACCTGCAGGTAAGCTGATAAGCTGATATGACTTAAATCTGGCATATGGAAAAAATAGGAGAGGGCACTGTCACACTGCACACATCTAATACCTATGCATGTCTGAACTTCAGTTACTGTAGGTTGTGATCTGATTAACATGTACATGTATTTGTAATCATTATGTCCCTAATCAGTTCATCATTGTTTGTAAAAATAACATCTAAGGTGTTTTCTTTCCTAGTTGATTCTGATATTTGTTAGTTTAAGGTAAATCTGTCACACATCTGCAATAGGTCATCTGTGTGTGACCTGTTCACTTTAACTGCTTCCTGGGATTCTCTCTGGTATAACTGCCACTTTTTCCATTTTAGGTGCTGTAAGTTGAAGTTGCCAAACAAGATGATGTTCGGGGCAGGGTTTGAGAGATTTTCTTCGCAGTATTCTATTTTGCAAGTTTGTCTTTGAACTTCTGAGGATTTGCATCTGGTGATTTATAGACAAGGGCAATCACTACATTTAGTTTCTATTTTCTAAGAGAACGGGTATGCCGTTCTCGTTCCAGTTTGCCGCCTGTTCTTTCTCTTTGGTGGTATGTGACTTGCATTTATTTCTAGTCCTACTGTACCTATTTTATCAAGGCACTGGTTTAAGTTAGCAATATATGCAGTAGCTAACTTATTCACGGATTACGTGAATTGTCTGCAGAGTTGCTCCGTTCTTTTGAGACTGATTTTTATTAACCCTCCAGTTGTATGTAAAGTTAACTTGACTTTCTGGGTGCTTTCCCAGTGTGGTAAATTGTCACACTGTGCCTTTAAAGAGGTCAGGTTTTTGCTGTTACCAAGTAGGCCATGCAGAACTTCCATATCTAATGTGACCCATTTGCATGAGGCCACCATGACCTCTTGCAAATTTGTCCTCCATTTGACTGAGGCAAACTTTCAGGCTCCTCCAGCTAGTTTGGTTTTTACTTATATAAATATTTTTTACTTTATCTTGGCTAATGCCTCTACACCACAAAAGTGAGAAAAAGGGTAATAAAGTAAAAGTACTGTCCATTCCATTGTTAAGTCATATTTTAAATACAGTACACAGATGCATACAGATTAAGAGTGGCTGAAGCCCCAGAAATTCTATGACAAACTTAGCAATGTTACTCTAGCCTCCCTAAAGAAGGCTAACTGGCGAGGCACCCAGACACCATGATGGCTCACTAATTTTATTGCACTGCAACACACCACACAACAGGCTTCATAAGATCAACACAATATCATACAAATAGGTATAATATTCCCTGAGACCAACTGCTTTCTCACAGAGTCACATGTCATTGAACCATAATGCTCTTCTAAATCCTGAACATGACTGTACTACATGCCTAATCTATCTATGCAGTACGATCAAAAATTTTAAATTTTTACATACTGGGGATATTAAATTTTAAAACTTTTTTAGGCATTAAAACATCAAACTTTAGCTGATCTCTTATAAGTACTGCTCTCCTGTTTTCAATGAAACATGTATTAAAAAAATGAGTTGTCAGCATGTGAAAAACCTAAGGTACTGCATATCCTACAACTAACACATGCAAAATCCATAACAATTAGAATATGAAATATATTACCAATAACATCCACATTCAACAGAATCTTAACCCTCCAGTTACAACTTAAGCCAAACTATCTTGCCATTAAAGATTAATATAAATTCACAGGCGATAAGTTGCAATAACATGATTGAAAATATGATTACCAAACCACACACCAGAAGATGAGATGACGATGTTTTGATCCTTCCTGGACCATTATCAACTCGATTGTGATGGGAGCGAGGAAGGCATGGACATTAAGTAAAGTAAAAGATGTGAGGAGTAGGTAAGAGGAAGTAACTCCTAGAGGAATGTAAGAGCAAGGCGAAAGGCAAGAAGAAGAAAAGTACGGATGGGGTGGGTGTAAGAATGGGAACATAAGAAAGAGAAACAAGGGAAGGGGGGGGGGGATTAGGCTCATGTCAGGTCATGTTTGTTGGAAAGGTTAGAGCATTTGAGTATGTACTGTGAAAGGGAAGAGTCTACAGCAACAAAGCCAGGACTAAGGTTCATGTTGGGTATCAGAGGTGATTCAACAAGATGGTGTCTGTGAAGAGTAGAGGTAGGAAAGATTATTTTAGAAGACCAATGAATAGGATGATTAGAATCCCTAACATGACAGAAGAGCATTGTTTGTGTCTGCAGACTTAACACTTCTTTTGTGTTCTGCTACATAGCCTTCCAGGTTTGGATTTTGATAATTACTTTTGTGTTCTTTATGTCTGTCATTAAGTGTACGGCCAGTGTCACTAAAGTATTGGAGAGTACAAGACAAACCGGAAATAAAGTAGACACCAGCAGCCAGAGGAGCAGTGTGAACCAGATTACTACGATTAGTGTTAGTTTGTTGAAAGGCGAGCTTTATGTCAAGAGGACGAAGGGTATTACCGAGATTTTTGAGCTTGTATATAAAGGGACAGCAGAGCATAGTGCTAATGGTGTTGGAACTGGGTTCAGGATAGA